ACCTCGCGATGTAGGTGGCGTAGAACACGGCCAAGCCCTGGTTGTACTGCAGGTTGGAGATTTTCAAGTCATCCTCGAGGCCGATGATGCGAGCATTGCCGACATTGGTGCGGTCGAGGAACGAGCAGAGGAAGAGCAGCGACAGGATTGGGAGAATTCTGGACGGGGTGTTAGCTAGTTATTGGACAGATAGCGATTGTGAAGTGGCGTTGGGTGGATGAAGAAGGCGGAATGCGTCTGACCTGGTGTCTGTCTTCCAGAGGATGCGTCGCGTGAGATGCGCCTCGTTTTCGAGCGTCGAGTGCCCGACGATGTCGGGGGAGGACGCGCCATGGTGTTCGGCTTCGGCTTTCTCGCCGATTGTGGGCGCGGACGACATTGAGCTCTGCGCGGTGTCGCGAATTTCGCGACGGAGCTAAATTGGGTGAGCGCAATCAGGGTACAAAAGACCGGATCGTGTGCTGCTTGTAATCACTCAGGATTGGGACACGGATTGAGGCCCGGAATGGTGTTGTGTCGGGAAAATGTCACGACCCTCGATGCAAGATGATGACAGATCCTGCGGGACGTGGGTAGCTCTGGGTCTTTCTTTTTTCTCTCCCCTTGTCTTGTGCGTGCTCGGGCAATCAACGAAGCGCCGGTTGTTTGCATCTGCATGCCTGACCGCTCGCTGATCAACTGCAAGGTGAGCATGGAAGTGGGCGGTCAACTTAAGACAGGATCACCACTCAGCTCGCCTCTGGCCATTGTAGCCGTCTATTGGCGGTTGTGATGACACGAAAACGTGGGACAGCGACTCCAACAACCCCAAATGTTACTTTGAACCAGGGTAGGGTCATGAATATGAGAGCATCCCCCATGCTCTCTCCCCCCTTCCAGCGCACACAGTGAGGGGATGGGGGCCGAGAAATCAAGCAGCCGAGCCGAAGCGGAACCGTGAGGAGTGCTAGGAATCCAAAGTTGAGTCCCGATTGGGAATGTCCTGTTCACGGGACGTGCTGTTGCATCCACGGCATGAATCCCGGCCATATTCCTTCAGTGACAGTGATACGAATATCTTGGCTCCTTGGCTCGCGCCCCCCAGTGGCCTCCAAGCCGGCCCTGGTCCCAGGCTTGGTTGGGGAAGGTGTTACATCGGGTCCACCCCTGGGGTGCTTGGTGTGCTTGTTTCCCCGCAATCGCTGGGGAGTGCAAAATTGCCGGGCTCTTGCCTGTTGCTTGTTGACATGTTGTGGAGATAGGATGTTGAGGGGAGCTATCGCGCTATGTACATTCGTACTACAGGAAGTTCCAGGCCCCTGATATTCTACTGTAATGGTGTGTTACTGCATCGCGCCGTGTCTCGGATCCTGGACCGTGAGGCTGAGTGGAATTATTAGCCGCGATATTGCATAAGAGGTAGTTACACAGTATCCGTATTCGATTCGATTCGCGTCTCTTGGGTCTCGTACTAGGTAGTCGAGGAGTCGAAGCCCGGACCGAATCAGGGCGAGAACGAATTCGGGCTGAACCATGAGCTCTTTGGCGATTGTGTCCGAAGGCTTCACCGATCTAGCCCCTTAAATCCCTGCAATGGGGACTTGGAGAAACTGATGCCTGTTAACCATGCGAGCGATGGCCGTTAAAGAAAAAAAACCGTGGCGCAAAAATACAAACCGAAAACCCCCCTTTTTTGGAAGGCGCCACCCTGACATTCCAGAAACTGAGCCCTTGAATCCACTGTCGTAACGGCACCAAAATCTGGCCTCCGGCGCGTCCACCCCTCTGTGACGTAGGGGTCTTGGCGCTGATTCCGTCCGGTTGGCAGAAGAAGAACCCGTTCATTTTTTGCCATGCATCGACGAAGCTGAAGTCTCGAACTGGGTGCCGAGGCAGAGAGTGTTGTTTTCAATCTGCTTTCGTGCCTTTGTGTCGCTGTCTTGTGCTGCTTTTGGTGCGCATTGCGAACGACGGATATCTTAGATTTCTTGCTTTTTTTGGCCTACATCGCCCGTTTATTTTTATACGTTCAAATTGACAACACTACTCAAACAACGCGGATACATTCAACACTCACTCCGTTACTGGGGCACATAGCAGACAGCGAAACAATGCCTGGGATACAAGCAGCGCGGGCCGCAAGGCGGACCGTATCGACGACCATGGGGACCCTGACAGCAACAAGACCATCATCTTCACTCCGACCCCTAGGAGCCAGTATGGTTGTTCGTTGTGTCGCGCGGACACCCTCCCGGACGACGGCACCGGGGCTCGCGCTGAGCGTGGGAGGTTGTTTGGCCCGGAGTGGTAGCAAGATGCACTTCTCACAGTCACGGCATTGGAGGTCGGCCGCCGTGCCGGAGGTGGATCGCGGGGGATCGAAGCTCTGGGGGAGCGCGGATGAGGCGGTCGCTGATATTAAGAGCGGATCGGTATTGCTGAGCGCGGGGTTTGGGTTGTGCGGTGTTGCGTGTAAGTCTTGTGGAGGGCCGGTGAATAAGCTGTTGTGAACTGTAATTTTCTGGGTGAAGAGGAAGAACTGACGTTGATCCGCCCACTTAGCAACACTCATCGCAGCGCTCCGAAAGCGCGGCCCCGACTCTCTGCACTCCCTCACGGCCGTGTCCAACAATGCAGGCGCTGAAGGGCGCGGCGGGCTTGCTATGCTGACCGAGAACGGCCAGGTCGACCGCATGATCATGTCGTTTCTTGGTCCGAACAAGAAACTGGAACGGCAGTATCTGACGGGAAAGATTGCTATTGAGCTGTGCCCTCAGGGTACACTAGCTGAGAGGATACGGGCGGCTGGGAGCGGTATTCCTGCGTTTTTTACGCCTACTGGTGGGAGTATGTGTGCTTCTCCAGCCGTGCATTTCCGTGTGCATATGTTTGTGTCAAATAGGAGCTAACTGGGCATAGACACGCTGGTACAAGAAGGGGCCATTCCCGTTCGGTTTGATGCGGATGGGAATGCAGTTGAGTACGGCCGGCCACGGGAGACAAGAGTATTCGACGGTCGTCCGTACCTGATGGAGACGGCACTATACGGTGATGTGGCCATTCTTCGCGCATCGAAGGTGGACAAGGCCGGCAATTGCGTATTCCGGTACGTATCTAAGCGTAGAGAGCGCTGCTGGATGATGTCTTGCTGACTTTGCCTTAGATACACTACCAAGTCGTTTGCACCACTGATGGCCAAGGCGGCCAAACTCGCGATCGTGGAAGCTGAGAATATTGTTGAAATTGGCGAGATCGATCCGGGCGAGGTCGACCTTCCCGGGATTTATGTTGACCGTATCGTATCGGCCACAGAACCGCCATTGGTTGAGGTGTTGAAGACGCGTTCGGAGGCCTCCACCAAGGGGGACAAGCCAAAGACAGATGCGCAAGCTCGGAGGGCTCGTATTGCCCGGCGGGCGGCTAAGGAACTCAAGGACGGGTTTTATGTCAATCTTGGTGTTGGTAAGAACCGACCTGGTACCTATGGATGAGGTGCAATACATACTGACCATCCTTAGGCCTTCCTACTATGGCCCCGTCATTTCTCCCACAGGGGCAGAGAGTCTGGATCCAATCTGAGAATGGCATTCTCGGAATGGGCGACTACCCTCTCCCTGACGACGTCGACCCGTATGTTTCCTTTCCCATCTTTAATCCACCCCCTGATTTTGCATTTCCCCCTTTTTCTGGACACTAACCTGTAAGCAGCGACATCATCAACGCGGGCAAAGAAACAACTACTCTCGTCCCCGGTGCCGCGACCTTTGACTCGTCCGAGTCGTTCGGCATGATCCGCGGCGGGCACGTCGATGTATCCATTCTCGGCGCTCTGCAAGTGAGCGCGGCAGGCGATCTAGCCAATTACATGATCCCGGGGCAGGTATTCAAGGGCATGGGCGGCGCGATGGACCTCGTTTCCAACCCGGACAACACCAAAATTGTCGTGGCCACGGAGCATGTGGCCAAGGACGGGACGAGTAAGGTGGTGCATACATGTAGCTTGCCGTTGACGGGAGCGAAGGTGGTAAGCACCATCATCACGGATTTGGTGAGTTACTACCTGTTGTTGGGAGAGATTGTGAGTGCTGTTGTGACGCTGACTTGTGTTGTAGTGCGTGTTTGAGGTAGACCGCAAGCAGGGCACGCTCACACTGACGGAGATTGCGCCGGGAGTGGAGGTGGAGGAGGTGAAGAGCAAGACAGATGCGGCGTTTACGGTAGCGAGCGATCTTAAGAGTATGGAGTAAGCGTTGTATGTGTGGCTGAATAGCAAGCAAGCATGGGAAGTGTTGGAGGCGTTCTGGTCGTTATTTATTGTAGCATTTCTGTATCCACGCTCGCATGTCTGCCGGGGGATAGATACCCAATCATATATTCCTTATCAACTAAGCATCATTGCTTCGCCCGCCCTCCGTCATCCTTATCTATCAAATCTTCGCCTTCTCCCCATCCCACCTTGCAAAACTCCCACCCACCGCCTCCGCAATCGCATCTACACTCTTCAACAACCACTCACACCCCTCATCCCCCGCCAACCTTTCTATACCCTCCGCTTCCTTCTCTCCTTCCGCATCAAGCCCAACAAACTCCTCCCGATGCGCCCCCTGCTCAACCGCCTTCCGCAACCCAAACACATGCGACACCACCTGCGGCCCAACCCCCGTCTGCGCCCGCAAACACGCCACCGCAACCACACTCGTCAGTGTACGCCCAACCACCCCAAGTTGCTGACCCTGCTGCCCCTGCCCCTGTCCCCGACCCCCGCGCTCCGGATCCGCCAACAAAGGCCCATAATGACTCCCCAGAATATGCACCGGCAAATCCGGATGACTCTCCGCCAACTTCGCAACCAATTTCCCCTCAAACGGCGTATAAATACTCTCCCAAAGTTCCCTCCCGCGCCGCGCGACGGCGTCGACATTGTCGGTGGAGACTTGCCGGGAGGGATTGGTCGCGAGTTGGCTGGCCCAGGGGTGGTGGGCGATACCCTGGCGGAAGGCGCTGAGGGTGTTGATGGTGCGGGGAATGCCGTTGAAGGAGATGCATTTGAGGCCGATTTCGCGGAGGAGTTCGGCTGTTGATAGGGGGGCCAGGGAGGAGGATGGGGAGGTGAGGTCGGGGACGAGGGCGTGGAGTTCGAGGAGCGCGGCGGGGGAGTTGAGGGTGAATGTTGCGGCGGCCTGGGGATGGTGGTTAGATTTTTGGATTGTTTTGTTTAAGGGGGGATTTCTATTTTGGTTTGTTCTGCTGCTCGCCCTTTCAGGGCTGGTTGAGACGTACCGACAGCGTCACCCACGGCCTGTCGCCGTACTGGCGCTCGCGGGCCTCGCGGGCAATGCGTGTGTAGACATCGCGGATGTGTCGTGGCGCGGGCGCTTGGCCGGGGCGCGCAAACGGCGCGTTGATGAGTGCCTTGAGCGACGGAGAGAGCTTCGACATGGAGGTGGATTTCTTCTTGATGTTGTTCTTCGGGTGGTATGTTCTTGGTTTGGAATTCTTTTCTTCGGTTCCTTGGTTCTTGAGATCCCGCGGTTTCTCACGGTTGCTCTCCTGGTCTTTCAATCGCGTGAAGGGCATGCCAAAGGCAACGAAAATACAGGGAAAAAAAGGTACGATAGACCGGCCGTATACAAATGTCCAATGAAGAGATCCCGTCACAATGGCTGCATTCCACGTGCGCTTCACTTTCTGGCCCGTTCTGTCGTTTCAAACGGAGGACCTGTCGCGGAGTCTCGCATCGGGCACCCCACGACCTCGGCACAAAATCAATGCGAGAACCCCCGAAAGACGCCGCTGTCGTTGGGGTTTTTGCCCACAGACAGCGAGGTGGAGCCTTCTGACCCTGCATTCCCGGGACCCCTGAGCCCCTGAACCCCTGCTGCACAAGTTCCCACTTTCCCCGCTTAAAAACTCCACGGGTTCCTCGAGCGGCGAACGGATGCCAGAAAATTGGCCGAGACCCCGCCATGCTTGCCGGACATGATGGACCACGAGACTCGTTCAAGACTGTGTGGGCTCTTGATTCCATGCCACCATGCTAATGGAGTTATTCGTACGCCCGTACTTGATCACGCCACTTCGAGATGAGGAGCGGATATCGTAGGCAACGCTGACCGGTGTGTTGTTTGCTTCTGGATTGGAGATTGGGGCCGAGGGGCCGATAGTTAGGTTCTCAAGTCCTCCAAGGTGTGGTGTAAGTTCGAAATCCATGCTCCACCAGGGGTCTGTGGTCATCATCGGAGCCATAATTGGCAACGATTGTGGTTTGGACTTGTAGTGTATCGGACATATTTGTGTCTGCAGACTTTCTTGAACCGCCGTGATTGCAAAGCAACGAATGTGGAGGAGATTGGAGTTCTCGTCTGTAGATTACTCCCCAGTGACTCTAAGCGATAATTCTTCAATTTTAGTCCTTTCTTGTTTCCTTCGTATGTTACGGTTTAGGACTTCCCGGATTGCCTTGGAATTGACTTGACCGTAATGTCCCAGAAAAAGGGTTCCAAGCAGCCGTTTTGGCTCGGGTGAGACTTCTTGGCCTGTTAAATCCATCTCGATCAACACCCTTAAAAACTAATATATCAAATCTCACAGGGGTGCCGCGGCCTCAATATCCGTGTGTTTTAGTGAGTTGAGATCCTCAACGGTTATTGCTTGTCCCTACGACCGGCTGTGGCTGATATGTTTATTGCAGCACACCCACTAGATCTCACAAAATAGTATGACTCTGGCTCAGCCTTGATGGTTGACTAGCACATACACGCATTTTAACCCACCACCCATCTCTTAGTCGGATGCAAGTCCTCCAAACACGTGCTCCCATGCTACGCACCTTATACAATTTCGCTGTGCGAGACGGTCCGCCTGCCCCCCTTGAAACCTTCCCCCTTTAACCCCTTCAACCTGGCTGACGATACCTACGAGGAGCCAACATCCAGGCATTCCCTCCCTCTGGTCCGGCCTCTCAGCCTCCATCCTCCGCCAATCCACCTACTCCACAGCCCGCTTCGGCCTTTTCGCCGTCCTCTCCCGCCAGCTCCAACAATGGTCCAGCAGTCCCAGTGCCCCCAACGCCAAGCTCTCGACTTTCGCCACTGTTGCGTGCGCAGGCGTGGCGGGAGGGTTGGCTGGTGTGGTTGGGAACCCGACCGAGGTGATTCTCGTGCGCATGTGTGCGGACGCGGCGAAACAGCCGGCGGAGCGATTCGGTTACTCGAATGCCGTGACGGGGTTGTGGCGGATTGGTAGAGAGGAAGGGGTCAGGGTATTTGGAAGGGGGTTGACTGCGAATGTGGTTAGGAGCGTGCTTATGAGTAAGGTGTTTTTGGCTTTTATCCTTTGGGCTCTCAGGGAAATGAGGTGGGCTAACCTACTAACACGTCTTGAAAAGACGTTTCTCAGATTGCGCCGTAAGTCCTGATTTCGCTTCCTAGGACGTAGGACATACGCAGTGCTGACTCGAGAGCTTGTACAGATACGCCGCAGCGAAACGGATGATCCTATCAAGGACCCAGTTGCAGGATGATATCCGCACACACGCCCTTGCTTCGCTCTTCGCTGGCACGGTAGCCACCACGGTATGCGCACCCGCAGATGTGCTCAAGAGCAGGATACAGAGCGCTGCTAAGGGGTTGAACGTATGAATCTTATCCTGGGAGTCCTGGGGACCGTGTCGAAATCGGACTGACCGACCCGCGTTAGGTGATACAAGTTGTTCGAGATGGCTTGGGACGTGAAGGTCCCATGTTCTTGATGAAAGGGTGGACGCCAGCGTGGTTGAGATTAACGTCGGTCGCTCATCCATACCTGCCCCAGGAACTCCGCCGCTGACGATCAAACAGACCACACACAGTCCTCACATTCGTCATCATGGAGAAACTGCAGGACCTCGTAAATATGTCGACCTCCGCTCCAGCTCGGGTAGCGGTTTAACAACACTTTGCAAACTGTTGCGGTCAGGTTCCAAAGTCGGGCAGATTAGACCAATTTAGCCAGTCCAACGCGGCCGCGTCGTCCCAGGGATACATGCTTAACGCCGGATCCAGCTCATTGTTTACCCGACTGAGCGCTTCCACGATTTGGTCGTCGGACATGGACGAGAATTGGATCGGTTCATTCCAGCCTGGGGGCTCCATGAAACCGGAAACTGGGGGGCGGGCATGCATGGTGTCCGTCATGCTGAAGCTGGCCCGGGTAGTGTGGCTGGAATTGTTGTTGGGCCGGGTATAGGCAGTTGCAGGGCGGCGTTGGGAAAGGAGATCCGGGTGAGTGCCCGCACGGGGTCTGACGGAGGCCTCGGGAGGAGCGGGTACGGAAGCGGCCGCCTTTTTGACAATGTACTTGAGGTATTTGCCGTATAGAGTGGACATACCGTTGCGGTGCTCCGTGGTCGAACCCACCCGCTCCAGTACTTCTGCGGTCTCCTCAATGAGCGTGCGGACGCTGGGAGCCAGATTTGAGTTGCCTGCAAACTGCCCGCTGAGTCGCAGCGCGAAGCACGCGGCGAACGAGATCATGATTGCTGTGTTGTTGGGCATGCTCGATAACTGCCCTTCGCCCTGAATGGCGGCCCGCATGACGTTGAGCGCCGATGATAAGCTAGCAGCGTGGAAGAAGTGCCGCACCTCGGTCGGCGCTGTCGGGTGGTTGATGACAGTGCTGTAGATAGATAAGCGTGTGTGTGTGACAAGAATTTGAACGTAAGGTGGCAGTCGATGCTGGGGGCCGCTTCCGATCGAGATGCCCCATTTGGCGTGCCATTCGTCAAAGAACTTTTCGACAATCATCTGGATAGACCGGGCGACCATCGAGCCATCCGCTCGGCCGTCTCTAGACTCGTCACAAAGGGCTCTGATAGAGGAGAATAATTCATCCTTGATCGGTCAGCTTTGTTGGCTTCGGTGAAGTGTCTCGAAGTAATATCCCAACTTACCAAATCCCTCCGTAGAACGGCCATCGAGACCAAATGGCCGTCCATGGTGTCGGCGATACTTGACAGATGCCATTGGTCGCAGCCTCTGAGTATAGGTGTGATAGGGACGGTGTAACAGCGTCCTCTCGCCAGGCACATCCTAAGTTGCGTGAGTTCCGTACTTTTGAGACAGGGAATTAGAGCACCACACAACCTACCCTCGTTCCAACACAAACAACGCAATCCAGCACCGCTCTCGCCTCCTCAACAGTCTCTGTCCAAACTCTGACGATGGTTCCACATCCCCGAAACCATCCAGGGCTAGGGCCACCCTCGGGTCGATGCAGTCAGCCCTCGCGATACCCCCAAAGGTCCCATCACCACGTCCACCCGGCCCTTCTCGAAGCGAGGCGATCGGCACAAGAATCTTGTGCAACGACAGATCTAGTGCCATGGTCGTGGCCATGGAGACGTACCAGCACGTCTCGTCGTCGGTGCTGTGCTTGCCGGGGAACATCCAGGGCACATTGACCATGAACCCGAGCACGATCTCCACGGAGCGGTACCGGTCTAGGATGATGCGGTTGACCAGCGCCTTGCAGTGGTTAGACAGCCGACGAGAGAGGGCGGAGGCCCGGGGCATGAACAATGCCGCAGCAGCGGCAATGGATGTGAACAAGAATGCGGAACGAGATCGGGTGAACGCTGCCGTGTAAAGGGCCGGATCGAGACCCCAGCGGGTATGAGCGAGGTTGTGGTGGAAAAAGTTGAAGAGCATCTCGGCTTCTTCCACAGTGATCAAGCCGAGGGAAATGGGATCCAGGTCTGGGCCTGTGTCGAGGCTGAACTGGCTAAGCTTGAAGAACTTTTCGACTTCGGAGATCTTGTCGCTCTGCTTGTTCTGGTGAGCTCGCTGCTGAGACATGGCTTCCGACGCCGCGTGGCGATCAACCCCAGACTTGGGTGAGACATGCAAGTCGGACGCCCGCGCGAGGAGTTGGAGCGGGTTCTCAGCATCATCCACTGCTAAACTCTCTTCTCCCACATGGCCTTGAGAGGGTGTTGACTCCTGCTTCAAGCTGATGCCGTCTTGCTGTTGGTCCGGGTCTTGATCCTGGTCCTGGTCCGAAATGGAGCTGTCGCCGGCGTCGGAAGATACGTCCGGCAGGAGGATGTCGTTGCCCTGCCTGGACTCCGGACGGGGCTCCGCGCCCCTGGCCCGGGATTGGTCGTGATTCAAGAGAGACACCGGGCCATGCGGCCCCGGGCCGAGTAGCAGTTTTAGATCCGAGACAACTTGGGCTGCCTCGATGCCGGTCCCGGTCCGTCGCAACGCTTGCTCCACCTGATGCAAGGCCTTCTCCAGTCCTGTGCGTTTGCTGCGCGTCGTTGGTCAGCAGTCGCAGGTATTAAGCAAAAGTAACAAAAATCAAGGGAAAAAAGAACAAGAGTAGAGAAAACTACACGTAAAAAAAAACTAAAAAAAAAAACTGTAGAGCTACTTTTTGACACCCTTCCGGCGACCAACATGAAAGTCCGGCCGAACACATTGGACCCCCAATTGCAGACATCGATGGCAACGGTCATCGTCTTGCGCCCGGCCCTTTTCACACTTGATTTTGGAGCGACGACACACAAGACAGGCGGCAGCCCTCCGACTATTCAGGTCGCGCGGCGAGTCACGGGAACTGGCGCTGGCGCCGATGCTGACGCCTTCCGTGGCCACGGTGACACTGTCCGACCGAGACCCGTCCATCATGTCGGCATTCATACAACGGCTTTTGGGTGTGTGTTGGGCGCGTGTGCGCGCGCACCGCGGCCAACAATGGCGCGACCGACGCCGGGCGGGGGTAGCTGGCTTCGGCCGCTCGTAGTTCCTCCTCGCCTCACTTATGTGGGTGTCGTCGTGTTGCGGGAGTTTGTTGCACCAAGGGAAACCGTGACTGGCGGTCGAATTTCAGTGCACGAGTGAGATGTTGTTGGGGTAATTCGGGGTTGCCGGGCCCGCAACAGCTGGCGGACAGGCGGCAAGTGACGGTTGTCCTACGTCAATCGGTGTTCTAGAGACTTGCTGTGCTCCCATCATCTCTCTGCGGTTTCGATTTAAGGGCAAACGGAACCTGTAACACAGTCGAATGCTTCCGTAGGCGGTTTCAAAAAGTAATTATCGCGACATCGTCCTTGATTCCATACCTTTCATATCTCGCCCCGGGCCCGGCGGGGGATGTTCCGTGAGACAAACGTTGCATTCCTTTTTCCCATTCTATCATCCGGCTCGGCTTCATAGTTGATTACCCTCTTGTCCGACGGGGATTTATCCACCTTCGCCTTGCGGAGGCCCGTGAGTTCAGTCCTGCACTGGACGCGCTACATGGGTATTTAAGCATCTCAACACACTTTGCCCGTCTCGGCATCGGGGTCGTTTTCGAATGGCCCTGGTATCCGCCGCCGCATATTACATCTAACCCACAATGTTACGCCGGAGAATTCTTGAACTGCGCTCCTGTTGACGTTTGTTGGGTACGGAGTGAACTTCAAGGAGTCTACAAAATTGGCCCTGAACTGCCTCCCTCTCGTCCTTCGGTTGACCGTAACATCACAGGCCCATTATGGGAGGAGATTGGGGCAAGGGGTGTGTTTAATTCTAGAAAAGGTTGTGGAATAAAATTTCGGATACAGTCTTCAAAGGACTTGCGTTTGAACTGGATGGAAATAAAAGGACGCGTGGTATCTCTTCCCCTTAGCCCTCCCGAGAGCTACATGGTATTGTGGGTGTGAGATTGAGGATTTCCAAACCAAATGCTAATTATTATCTGTGTTCTGTTCTTTCTCAGGGAGAGTGGGATTCGGAGATGGGCTGGTGGGTTCAGTGGGGCAACCCTTGGCGTCGCGTGGGGCTGCTCCCAGCAGCTTGGTTCAGCGCCGACGCGACACCCCAGCACCCCGTCGCGTTTTCAACGCGTCCCACTTAAACTCCCAAGCTCTCATCCACGTCTCCCCCTTTCTTCACTTGTCTTTCCTAACTAAACACTTCATTGTATTTCAGCATCAATCACCGAATACCAGCGCTCACTGTATCTGCCGGAGCCCTTCGAAATGGGCGAAAAATCAACACCAGCCCGCACCCCCGCGAGGATACCGTCGACGGCGAAGAAAGCCCCCTCAACGGGCAAGCAGCAGAGCATTCTCGGCTTTTTCTCGAAGCCGGGGAATGGCCCTTCACCATCCACGAAGCCGGCATCCACGAGCAAGAAGGATGCATCGCCACAATGCCTCAAGGAAACCACCCGGGCCAATTCGATGCTCGCGAGGCGAACCGCGGCTGTGACCCCAGTTCCCAGCAGCGACGCCATCGAGCCCAGCAGCTCCCAGGAGAATAGAGATACAAGTATTGTCAAGGTAATTGGGGCCGGAGTCCACTCTCTCGCCGTCATGATGGGCTAACATGGAGCAGAAACCAACGGTTAGCGTTACCGACACCAACCTACCGAGCAGCCCCACCCGAAAGGTACTTACCCAAGCCCGATGTCGTTCAAACACCATGTTCGCTTTTTGTTAACCCATCAATTGTAGGCTAAGAAGGTTGTGAGCTACGCCGAATCCTCAGATGAAGACGACGACGACGCCATCTTTGCGACATTGAAAACTAGACGCGCTAAACAACGCCGGTCGCGCGTCGCGGTTTCCGACGATGACGACGCAGACACATACGAGGCTGAAGTGAATGAGCTGGAAGATGATGACGGTAAGTTTCATGCTGCTACGAACTATTGCGGCTTGAACTAACGGCTTTTATGTAGATGATATGGGAGACTTTGTCGTTTCTGACGAATCCGATGCGCCCTCCAAATCGAAAAAGAGGAAGCGGGCAGCAACCAAGCTCGCGGCTCCGCGCAAGAAGACCAACCTGTCATCTTCGCCTGGGCCCAGCCCGCGGTACTCACCAGAATGTGACGACGAAATAATGCAGGACATTCCGGCCTCGACGTCAACGGCGCAGAAGTGGAAGTACGATCCTGAGAATATTGAGCCTGTCGATCCTGCGTCTAGAGTCCCGGCCCCAAAATCGAAAGCGCCATCGGGCCCGAAACCGAAACCAAAACCGCACACCAAAGAACCCGAAGAGCGGTATCCGTGGCTAGCCAACATCCTAGACAGCAACAAAAATCCGCCCGGGCACCCCGATTTTGACCCAACCTCCATCTACATCCCTCCATTGGCAGAGCGTGGGTTCTCGGCGTTTGAGAAGCAGTACTGGGACATCAAAAAGAAGCTTTGGGATACTGTTGTGTTCTTCAAGAAGGGCAAGTTCTATGAACTCTACGAGAACGATGCCACCATTGGGCATCAACTTTTTGACCTCAAGTTGACGGACCGCGTCAACATGCGCATGGTCGGCGTGCCCGAGAGCTCACTAGATATGTGGGTGAATCAATTCGTGGCCAAGGGTTTCAAGGTCGCGCGCGTCGACCAGATGGAGTCTGCCTTGGGCAAGGAGATGCGCGAGCGTGACAACAATGCTAAGAAAGTGGACAAGATCATTCGCAGGGAGCTCGCATGCATCCTGACGGGCGGCACCCTGGTGGATGGGAGCATGCTGCAAGACGACATGGCTACCTACTGTGCGGCCATTAAGGAGTCGATCATCGACGACAAACCGGCGTTTGGCATTGCGTTTGTCGATGCCGCAACCGGCCAGTTCTTCCTCTCTGAATTTGAAGACGATGTCGACCTGACCAAGTTCGAGACCTTCGTTGCTCAAACATCGCCGCGGGAGCTACTCATTGAGAAGTCTCGTCTCTCCACCAAGGCCCTACGCATTCTCAAGAACAACACGGGCCCCACCACCATTTGGAACTATCTCAAGCCAGGAACTGAATTTTGGGACGCTGACCTTGCCCGACGCGAACTGGAATGCAGCCGGTACTTTGCCTCGGAAGATGGAGAAGATGAGGTGTGGCCACAGCAGCTGAGCGAGGTGAAGGACAAGGATTTAACCATGTCGGCCCTTGGGGGCTTGACTCACTACCTCCGTATCCTGAAGCTCGATCAAAACCTGCTCTCGCAGGGCAACTTTGCGTGGTACAACCCCATCCACCGAAACGGCACCTTGATCCTGGACGGGCAGAGCCTGATCAATCTCGAAATCTTTGCCAACACCGCCAATGGAGGCTCCGAAGGGACTCTATTCAATCTTCTCAACCGTTGCATCACCCCATTTGGTAAACGCCTATTCCGGCAATGGGTTTGCCACCCACTCTGCAACACCCGGAAGATCAATGAGCGGCTTGATGCGGTTGATATGTTGAACGCCGACCGGAGCATTCTGCAGCAGTTCTCTTCCCAGATGGCCAAGATGCCAGACCTCGAGCGCCTGATTTCTCGCATTCACGCCGGTGCTTGCCGGCCTGAGGACTTCGTCCGGGTGCTGGAAGGATTCGAACAGATTGACTACACCATGGGTCTGTTGAGTGCGTTTGGCGGGGGCAACGGGCTGGTTGACAAGCTCATTGCGTCTATGCCTAACCTGAAGGAGCCTCTTGGCTATTGGGAAACTGCCTTCGACCGGACCAAGGCTCGAGATGGCAAACAGCTCATTCCCGAACGAGGCATTGAAGAAGACTTTGACAACAGCCAGGATGAGCTGGAACGCATCAAGGGGGAGCTGCATGACCTGTTGAATAAACAGAAGTCTGCCCTGAAATGCAAGACCGTCAAGTTCACCGACGTGGGTAAGGAGATTTACCAGATGGAGGTGCCCAAGTCCGTCAAGGTTCCCTCGAGCTGGCGTCAGATGTCTGCTACAGCAGCCGTTAAGCGGTACTACTTCCGAGAGCTGGAGGATCTCGTCCGTGAGCTCCATGAGACCGAGGAGACACACTCCCAGATTGTCAAGGAGGTGGCTGCGCGGTTCTTCAGCCGGTTCGACATCGACTACGAGGTATGGCTGCAGGCGATCCGTATCATTTCTCAGTTGGACTGCCTGATCAGCCTGGCCAAATCGTCATCCGCCATCGGCATCCCAAGCTGTCGCCCGACGTTTGTGGACGACGAACGAAGCGTGGTGAAGTTCACAGAGCTGCGGCACCCGTGTATGATGAACAATGTCGCCGACTTTATCCCCAATGACATCAACCTTGGTGGTGACGAGGCTAAAATCAACCTGCTAACCGGTGCTAACGCGGCCGGTAAATCGACCGTTCTTCGCATGGTAAGCTCAACATCCCCCTCTTTCTTGCCTTTTTTTTCTTTTGCTTTTTGGCCGTTTCTTAGATAGACGTACTGACCTCAACGTCCAGTCCTGCATCGCCGTGATCATGGCACAAATCGGCTGCTACGTCCCGGCCACCTCGGCCATTTTGACCCCCATCGACCGCATCATGTCCCGTCTCGGCGCCAACGACAACATCTTCGCAGCCCAAAGCACCTTCTTCGTCGAGCTCTCCGAAACCAAGAAGATCCTAGCTGAAGCCACCCCGCGTTCCCTCGTCATCCTCGACGAGCTCGGCCGCGGCACCTCGTCCTACGACGGCGTCGCCGTCGCCCAGGCCGTGCTGCACCACGTAGCCTCGCACATTGGCTGCGTCGGCTTCTTCGCCACGCACTACCACAGTCTCGCGGCCGAATTCGCGCACCACCCCGAGATCCGGGCGCGGCGCATGCAGATCGATGTCGACGAGGCGCGCCGGCGTGTCACGTTCTTGTACCGCCTCGAGGACGGTGTGGCCGATGGCTCGTTTGGTATGCACTGCGCGGCCATGTGTGGGATCCCAGGCCGTGTGATTGAGCGTGCGGAGGTGGCGGCGCGTGACTGGGAGCACACGAGCCGGCTCAAGGAGAGTTTGGAACGCGCCAAGACGGGGTGTTATATCCCGTTGGGCGTGCTCAGTGATGTGGCCAGTTTGTTGGGACGGGAGGGGGCTAGGGGTGAAGACGGTGTGGGGGAGAGAGGGATGGAGGTACTGTTGAAGGCTATTGAGGCGCTTTGAGGGCACGATGTATAGGGTGTTTTCTTGGGTGAAACAGGTAATATCAATAGTAGCTTTGCGGAGGTTGCCATGCGGATATTTTGTCTTTTTTTTTCCCTTTTCCCCCTTTGGGCCACAGGTGTAGACGGAGGTTTTCTAGTAGTTGCTGGGGTAATGTACTGGCTGTATAATTCATTGCAACGTCTGCGATGGCTTGGCGGTATCCTCACATACACGGTAGCTTTCTGTGCCTTGTTTAACCTGGGTTTGACTGGTTCCATACGTAATTACTGTACAAAAAGGTCAGATATTGGGGATATTGATCTTGATTCCGAAAACAGCAGAGTGATGAAGTTTCGGGCTCATGGTGTTGTTTGGCTTTTAGTGAATATGCAGTCGCGTAGGACGTGATATGAGTAGTATGACAAATAACCGAAACCCGTGTAGGCGGATGATTTGGGGATATACAGTGCTATTCTATCCCATCCGGAGTTTAATCAAGGTTCTATTTCAGCTAGGAGGTCGTGTGCACGCCATGACCCACCACCGTCACCTCGTCCCATCTTTCCCAAACTCCCTCTTCATCTTTCTGACGTCGGTCACCGTCCAGATTTTGGTTTTTCATTCTTAGGTACAACATGAATGTGAGATCCTAAAGGCGGGATCTGTTTACAGCATTGGAGAAAAAGCTCGTCTTCGCGGGGCTGTTAATGATTCATTGGCCGGCAAAGTTGAAGGTTTTAGCTCGGACTGGTCTCAACGTCGCACGCTAATGATTATCTACCGCAGTCGCGAAAGGTTTCTCCACTCGAGTAGCTAAAATCCCGGCGGATCTTGCCCTCAAGCTTATCTTCGTACTCTGCTACATCTTTGTACCTGGTCTCGCCAACGCAACGGCTCGCCATCCATCTCACCAACAGGAGGGCATCGGGGGTCGGTTCGTCGCCTCGGAGATCCAGTTGGCGCGATTGCCGGAGGACGACTTTCTTGATGCTACCGTCGAAATGGGCGATTGTTATAATGGCAAATTCGTGGTTTTGGAGTGTGACTAACATGATCTGTTTCTAGATGTTACCCGCCTGCTTCTGACATCTTTAGAAAGCAAGTGCAGATGGACTGTAGCACGATGAAAGATACACATACGGGTTTTGTATGGGACCCAGTATGTCGACGCATCCATAACCTATACTTGACAAGCTCGAGAGTATATTCGACCACACTGAATAACACTCCCTCGGATGGCGGTGCGGTGGTTGTATCGTTCGTTATGCAAACCAGGTGGGGCTTCCTTTCGAAAAATTGGAACCAGATCCATTCGGGGGAGTACTCGTATGGGAGCTGTTCTCCAGTCTTTCCGTTCACCAGCGTGCCCCTCTCATAGGGGAGGTGCACACTATACTCCTGACCGGTGTGCCGTGGTCTCCCGCTTTGGCTTATGGGTCAGATATAAACAGATTAAAAACCACACGAATAGGGAGGGGGAACTTACCCTGTCGAGCGCCCCATGGACTTGGGAGAGAGGTCCTCGGCCAGGCCACGGAGGTACATTTCGCACCAAGTGACTTTGGATTGCTTGGGCCGCCAACTGTTCCAGCCCCAAGTCATAATAAATCGACCCCTATCCGGATCTCCAAAGTCTTCCGAAACGTCTTTCAGCATCCATGGCTGGAAATGTTGTTGGCTAGTGAGGTCCCATGTTGTCTCATCCACGTCCAACTGTTCGCCCACCACCACGCCCAAAGATTCAAGTTCAGCCCCCCCAAGAATATTGGCTTCCAGGTCCGTGAGGTTTGCTAGCATCGGCAACACACACAGAAGCTCTGCCGCTTCGGCATCCTGATGCGGGCGATCTTGTTCATGTCGATTCTCAGGGTTAGTGAATCCCCAGCCCATCGTTGGCCAAGTCCGGCAAGACGCGATGCCAGTGTTGGGCCTCCATGGGTAATCTCGGTATGACGGGACTCTTTTAAAGTCATAAGGCATAACGGAGGCCGGGGGAAAAGGGATATGAGTGTGCGAAGGCAGGAACGAGTCGTTTGGTTAGAAACGAGCTGTGCTGGTTGTGGTATAAAGTTATTTTGGATTAGGGGACTTGAGGTCGAGATAATTAATTAAGGCAAATAATTGGTAGGTATCTTGGGCGGCACAATGTATCCAAATTTTAGCCCCGCACTGACCGCACTAAGAATATGCTAATTTGAGCCCCTTGCCGGGAGCAATGATAATTATGTAATAACATCTGTTTCCAGAGGTACCTGGTGCGCAGGACGCTTGATTGTTTGCAGGCTGGCCTTGCCATAATTACCTACCTTGCCACCTTGACAACTGACACGCGTACAAGTAAGTGTACTCAAGCTTACCTACGTACCTATCCAGGAGTCACCGCCTCCACAAGAAACAAATGAACAAACACTCACGGTTCGCACAACCTGGGGCGTTTCTGTCAAGCGGCGGAGGTGAGTAATGCTAGGACGCACCTTCGTATTTGCGCATCTGAAATTCTCTCAGACTCTATCCGAACAACCTACAGCATTGTGTTTTGTCTTTTGTGTAAGTTGTGTAACTCTTCCTCCTGCGCGCCTTGCCTGGCGCACTCCTTTGTGCCTACTTGCGTGCTCGCATGGCTCCCGCATGGCCACCTGCGTGGCCACCTGCGTGTAATTAGTGGTGTTGTGTTTAGCGGTGCCACTAGGTGGAGGTGGTGCCACCGGCCGGAGGTGCAAGGCCTACCAAGCGCTGGATTGATGGGGAAAATTTCGTGGAAAATGCGATTTTTGATGCGGCTTGGATGTATGTAGTAATTACATAGTACATGGTACATATATAATCACCTTCAAAATGCTCGAGGGGACACCTTTTAGGGTCGGGGATATGTGGGTAACAATATATGGGGTTACGTGTAGAGTTCAGGGACACAACCCAAAGTTTCATGTCTCTTCATTAATGCCATGGCTAACGAGCCTTGGATCGGGAGCAAATAATCAATCAGACCCCAAACGGGCCGTAATTAAGCTCGACCGCAAAACTTTTGAACAACTTTTCATCCACCCCCATTAGGCTTTTGACACCATCAAACACATCGAGGCGAGCGTGGCACGGACTCTTCGGTTGGCCGTAATTACCGACTTCTTTAGCCTGGCTACGAAGTATTCCGAAAAGAAATCCAAAGAATGTTTGCCCCTTGGGTCGGCACGGGCGGCACAGTTGCGGACATGGACGGGCTCCGACCTGGGCCACATGGCCACCGGACTTGGCTTCCCCTACCCTGTGTGGAGAGGCGCATGACACAAGCGGCCCAGGGCCCCAGTTTCCTCTGGCACAACGGGACTCCGATATGCGACGGCGGCGACGCTGGTAGATCCCATGTTCTCCACGAGGCTTTCACGCAAAGCACATAAAGTTTGACTGTACAGAATCAGGTTGCTTTTCGGAGGCGCAGCTGAAACTTTGCCTCCTGTACCTCTAAAGTACACAGCATAGGTAGTAAGTTACCTGAGTTAACCGGTGATTTGGCTGGGCACTGTTGGTGATGGGATAACCCTAACCCTAATTACGGCTCAATTCAGCATAATTACAACGTGCAAGAGTGAAACTGCCAGTCTCCTGGACTTTCCATGTATTTTTTTTTCCCGCGAATGGAATGAAATTTCGGGTTTTAAATCTTCCTGGAACGGATAGGTCACCAACTGGGCCGAATGTCTGTCGAATATTCTTGTGCATTAGCCGATCATCCCGCCCGGTGTCCAAGAAGAATCACTGTGCGTGTGATCGGGGGCGGAAGGGTTGGGGGCCTTATTGGGACTTAGACTTGAGAGTCTGAACCTCTGGGTCACGCAAGGCAAGAACCAACAGCACCAACAACATGGCTAATTTTAGCCGCCCTTTGCTCTCGTTCCCAGCAGTGGTCGAATGTAGTGGGCGTTTTCAATCTATTGCCAATACAACGGAGCTTCATATTATAATCGTCTTTTGTATTGTGAACCGTACCGCTGACATTGTGGTCAACCTAGGTAGTTATAGAGGTATAGCAGCTACCCACGGATAATGGCGAGTGGTGAAGACACAATGTTGGGATTGACAGATCCCGCCTCAATCACATCAGCTCTCCTCGCCTAGTCCGTGCTGTGCCGGCCAGAAACAGCTTTGGCCGGTTGGTGATTGTCCCAATTCGACTCCCAAACCAGACGAATTCAGTTTGCGACCAACCCATCCACCACCCCCTTGGCTAACTTGAGGTCGTTCGACACCGTGCAATTGAGGCAGGCTCAGAATTTCCAGAGAAATTGCCGCAATCAGTCAAGATGAGTTTTGCAAAGGTGTCTCGCGTTGTTTCAAAGCTGCAGCCAACACTTCAACCGTTCAACGCCTCGACCCGACTGCACTCCAAGGACTAAGGTCTCACACTGAGACTGTCTAGGCGTCTGAACTGAGGCACTCGCCGTAGGTCCGGCCAGCCGGTCGTCTGATGGAGGTCCTCCGCGCCGCCCACCGGCCTTCCGTTGACCTCCAGGACAGAGTTGGGGTGTGGAGATGAACCAACGTCAGTATGTGCCGTCAACAGCCTGGGCTACCATCTCGAAAAGTTGGTCTTTCTGCCCTTGCGCCGGCGCGGGTTGATCTTGTTTCGGCCATGAATCCAAAAATAACCTTGGGGCAACTCATCTCTGGAACAAGTCTGGGGAACGGCTATAAGAGGATGAAGAACGCGAGCAGTGGCTTCTGAAGATACACCTACTTTACCCATCACCGATATTCTCCATTTCATCTAGCTTCACCTCTCATCATTCACAACCCGTTGTCAACCTTTTCCTAGATTCTGTTTGATTTCCTTGCGTACTCTCTGCCCCTTTTATTTCAAACCACAGAAAACACAACCCTAAAACACCAAAAACACCAAAAAAGATTAAAAAAAAAAAAGGAAACGTACGCACACACACAACACACACACACGCACACACGCTGTCCCTCACCACTTCGTTGTATTATCACTTTCTTGTTGTTTTCATCTTCTTTGGAATTCTTCACTGTATCGTCCTGCGATCTACTCACTTCCCCCCTGCTCAACCAAACCTTCGCCTGGTTGCTCCATTTCTCGCTCCCTTCCCTGTTCTCAACGTTTTCTCTTTCCTATCATCTGCCCTCTGTCCATTCACCCCATCGTTCTTCTCTCCCTGCCTGTCATCTCTGGATATCAGTCACCGGGCACTGTACCTGGTTCATCGTCAACTCACCGGCCACTTGTTCATCACGCGACGTTATCCTTGGGTCAGACCGTCGGTCTTCGTCGTCACCCTGCCTCCTTCTCTCTCTCTCCTCTCAAACTGCCATTCATATTTTCTATTTGGCTCTCATACACGCTCTACAACCATTCCTCCTCTTTACCGCGCCACATCCTCGCAACTCCAATTACAACCAGGCTTTCAGAGCTGTCACCTTCGTTGTTCCACCCGACGGCCTTTTACATCTTCAAATCACAACCTCTTTCAGTAACCGGCTTTCTCTTCCACTTGTCTCCATTCGCCCGTTGGCCCTTGCGGTGCTTCCTTATTAACGTCAACTTGGATCCTCGCCGGGCTACTGCAGCCCTCCGTCTCTTTCGCAAGCCCTGCATCTCTCGTCCGAGTCGTCCCTCATCGGCCATCCGACTGTCCCCGGCGCTGTCTCCCCCAATACTTTTGGATTTACCCTGACATACCGTCACAATGCTGGAATCGACCATTAAGGAGTGGGTTTCCGCGGTGCAGAAAGATCCGTCGATTCCCGAGGCAGCGCACAGCCTAGCGTTGTCGGATTGTGAGAAGTTGGAATCGGGTTCCAACATCGGCCACACTGGATACTTGCGTCTTCGCACTGTCTGGTATTGTTACAACACGGGTCCACGGATGCTCGCCACCTTGATCACCGGCAACGAGCGGACGGAATACCAAGGATATGTTCACCCCGCGCTTCACTCGGAGGCGGAACGCCTCGTGAAGCAGGCTTCCTCGGGTATGCACAGCAGGCTTGGTTATTACCTAGACGAGATGCATCGATCCTCGGGGGATGCGAGGTACCTGTATCCCGAGACCGAATGCGGGTTCTTTTCCGCGGTGCGATACTGGCAAGCTATGACGGCCACCCACGTGAAAACAGACAGATCAGTCGTGTCTAAAATCTCAATCTCCCCCGGCTCCGCCTCGAACAACCAGACTGTAGTAACGCCACCGCGCAATGACACCCATCGCAACGCCCAAAACTCAGCCTCTGTGGACGAAACCTACGTCAACACCGCTCTTCTCTTGCTCTTACAGGGTGTGTGCCAAGAGTTCAAGCAGCCGTTGCGCCCGCTGCATTGGGTCCCCCCACGCATGGCGTTGCATGTCAAAGTGCCGGGTTCAGCTGGGAAGAAGAAGGAGTTGTTGGAGGCGCGGGTCGACGGATACCTTTGCGGGCTGGTCGAGGTACCGGGCACTAAATCCAGGTTCACCAATCCCAAGGCGATTTGTGAGGCAAAGGCGGCGGTGAGGAAGTCGCACAGGACCGAAATCGAACGGCAGGAGTCCGCGGAGATGGCGGCTTGGATATCTAGCGATCGTGGGGCAGGAGAACTGCTTCAAACCTCGGCTAGCGGTAGAAGAAGGTCGGTCTCATCTTACTTTAAGCCCCCACTCCCCCCTCTTCCTCTCCCCTCCCCCCCACCCCTCCAGCTCCCCACGACGACGGGCCGCCAGCAAACTTTGAGCTAACTCTTTTCTAAATCAGACGTCTCATGGTCTCACAGGACCGTGACGAGATTTACATCATCATTGGCGAGTACGGCGAGGAGTACGAGCGCTACATCCAGGGTCTCGAACCCAAGCATGTTATTCCACCCATCAATACCCAGAATGCCGACCCGGCCGACCGCAGCGCCGCATTTCAAGACAGTCTCGGCTCGCCCACATTTCTGCTCCGGCTCAAGGGCCAACATGGTCTAAAGAAGAATGTGATTGAGGGCTGGGGAGCTGAGGAGTTAGGGGCCGTGAACTCTGAGCCTCAGACGGACGTCAGGCGCTCGGACCGGATCGTAGGTGGTAAATCTGACCCCGAGTATTTCTCGGCCGACCGTTGTCTCATCATGCACCGCTTTGGCCCTTGGGAGACATCCGATCCTGAACATATGAAGGACCTCGTCACCCAACTGTTGGCCCTGATGCTCCAGTTGAATTCTGCGTCTCCTCAAGACCATCACAACACTGGAGCCTCGGCCGGGACCCCGCGGTCCACATCCGGGAGCCGATCCGGGACTTCAACCCGGAGCTCCTCCTCCAGTGGAGGGTCTTCCTCTCCCGGAGGGCCTTCCCACAATCAGTCCCGCGAGGCGTCTCGCGGCCGGCCTCCTAAATGGTCCTACGACGCGATTCCGAGACTCGACCGGCCTATCCCCGAAAGCCCATCTATCAGACGAGATAGGAGGGGCCCAGTGGACGATTCAGCCCGCACCCAGCCCCGAGCTTTATCTGAGAGCCGCCTCGGACGCCCCCCGCTCCCCCCCACGCAGCGTCCACGGGAGCTGACACCGCCCGGCGGCTCTAGCGGACTGCCGAGCCGGCCCCGGGCTCCCATTGCGCCCCCCGAAGGCCAACCCCGAGGCGATTCGCCGCCGGGAAACAATGCCGGCCGGTCCCAGCCCCGCAACCCGCCGACGACGGGCGGCGGACCCAGCCAGAATAACCCCGGCAGGGGCGCCACGGACGACCCGAACAGGCGGGGTCCCATCACGAGGTCGCAGAATGCGCCCAAGAAGGACCCCGAGCATGACGGCTCGGGTGCGGGTGGCCACGGTGCGGGTGGCCACGGTGCGGGTGGCCACGGTGCGGGTGGCCAGGGCTCGAAGCCCCCGAACCGTGGACAGCCTCCTAACCGCAGCCCTTCGAACGACCGCAAGTCAAATTGAAATGGGGCCTGACGGACGAACAGGTGGAAGCCGGGGAAGCCGATGGCTTTTTTTCCTTCTTTCCACTGTCACGACCCTTGTTGTTGGGACCTGGCGCCGGTTTGCTGGTGTCGGTTGGAATTGGTGTGTTTTTTCCGTTTGTTTTTCTTTGCTTTGTTTGTTTTTGGGATAGATTTACGTGTTTTCTAGATTTGGGCATGTTCGGCGTTTGTCTTTTTTGCTTTTTTTATAGATGGGGTTGGCAGGTTGCGTTTGAAAACATACGAGAAAATATCAAAAAAAAGCTGGAAAACGAAAAACTCTGAAAAAAAAAAGACGATTAACAACCTTTAAAAGAAAAAAAAATGGGGGAAAAGACAAAAACAACAACAAAAAAAAAGCTTGGGGGTCGAGGTGCAGTGTTTTCCTGTTTTGGCGTTTGGGAGTTTGGGAGTTCACCTAGATCATAGATAGAAATAGAGTGCCCGGAGCTTCCCTCAAATCCTGAGTCCTAACAATTTGCCTTTTCTGTGATGCGTGATATGACCCATGCTGGAGGACGACACTGAGTCCATGCGCAGTCGCCTAGTACGAAACTTACTAGCACGTGATTCATTTGTTGGTCCGCCAGGTACTTTCTCTTTACATGGGACGGTTCGGGGGAGCATCCCCCAAGAGAGGAAGAGAATGAGCTTAAGGAAGGTGCAAGTCGGACGAGAGAGAGTTAAACTTGGATTGGGGGATTATAACTATCCATTGAAGGGGACATGGTAGGGTACTAGGACAGAGAAGGAGACATTTTACAAGGTATGTGGGTTGCTAGTCGTTGAATCAAATGTTGTTCGAATGTTTTATCTTGTTTTTAATACAACATTATTGGTGTTTCGGGACGTGATCATACAATGTTCCAGCGAGTAATACTCCGTATTAAAGCAATCGAGAATGCAATGCAATAATTGCCAAAAGAGGAAAGTGGGGCAGTTTCTGGAAGAGGGTATTAGACACTCCGACTCATTATGAATCATATTTTTTCATCGTATCATTATTCACAGTGTGGCGATTGGCGATTATGAACTACCTCTACCACGGCAGCCTGGTCCATAAAAGGCTTTCCTGTTCACAACTTCATACCAAATATCAAGTTCGGACATTGAAGTTACAAATTTCCACAAACGTTACACGACTTGACGATCTCTGACCACCGCACAACCTACGCCGCAGCGGCACAGCCCATCTTCGAAAAGCTTGTTTCAAATAATTCAGACGATGTTTCTGAGTTCTGACAGCACTATGGACGGATCGGACACTGCAACAGTGGCTTCGGATGAAATTCCCATTGTAACCCCCTCACCCGAGTCGTTGCTGCAATGCCGTCTATGCAACCTGTCCTTCGACACGCCTGGGGATAAACGACAACATGCAAAAAGTGAATGGCAGTGAGTCTCTCTGTTGCTGGGCGTACCGTCCATTGGCAGGCGTAACGACCCGGGTTTCATGGGTTGTCATGACAGTTATTCTAATGGCTAGCCAGTGTTTATCAAATTCGTTGTCGGGTAGCAGAACCGGGAACCGTGGTGTCCCCTCCCGACGTAAAGTCTGGAACGAGACACTCCGACAGGCGGCTGAAACGTCGTCAAAAGCAAGGTTTCGAACCGGGTGAACTTTCCGAGCAGAGTGGTCCCAGTGATGTTTTGGAGGAAAATGGCGACAACGATATCGATGCCGAATTTTCGGAAAACGATTCCCTGTCAGAAGACGATAACGAGGTCGAATTTATCCCCGAGGAGTGCTTATTCTGCGACAGCTCCAGCGAAGACTTTGCCTCCAACGTATCTCACATGCACCAGGCCCACAGTCTATTGATTCCCTTTCAGTCGTCGCTTGTAGTCGATCTTCAAACCGTGATCTGGTTTCTCCACATGGTTATCTTCCGGTACCGGGAATGCATCTGCTGTGGTCGGCGCCGGCGGACAGTGGAAGCGATACAGCAGCACATGACCACGAAGGGGCACTGTCGTGTGGAGGTGACAGAGGAGACGCGCGGATTTTACCATCCCGAGCTTTCCCAACACGTGGACCTACGTGACAAGGCGGCAGGCTTGGGATCCGCAGTCCATCATCAAGAAGACGGGACCCTCCGCCTTCCGTCAGGCAAGATCCTCTCGCATCGAAACAGCCATATCGATACCACTATTTCCCGAAGACAGCCCAAACCACCCGCCCATCCCGACACTTCCACCTCGCTCCCAGAGCCAACTCCCCATGCCGACAACAACAGCCAGTCCAACCCGTCCGACGGCGGGGTCACCACCACTACACTCGTCCCTCGAAACCGCCCTCACACCGCCCAGCCACCCGTGGAGCAACCGCCTCAGACACAGCTTCAAACTCAACTTGGACGGCTTCGTGCCGGCGACCAACTCAGCCTAGCCCATCTGTCGGAGGCTCAGCAGCGGTCCGTGTTGGTAGCCCGGCGGAAGGGCGTGGACGAGGCACGGCGAGTAGAGCGTCGGAGCCGGGGACGGGCGGATGCGGTTGGGAATAAGGTGGCGGTGCATACGAAGTATTATAAGCAGGAGGTGCCTGTTTATATGGGGGGTTGATGGGGTTTGTGTGTAATGTGTGGGTGGTTATTATGATGCTGTAGGAGAGTGGTGCGGGTAATCAATTACTTTCTGAGCAGAGGCTGATTCGCACTGCGTCATGACCATCTATGATTTGGCCTACAGTTGCTGGAAATATTGTCTCGAATTCCACGGAACTAGCTCCTGATGTGAGAATATGTTTTTGTTGGAACGGCGAATAAATTTGAAACAACCGTACCTAACTTGCCATGTTAAATACAGCCGTAGGTGAGTGGTTGTTGTTCAATTGTTGCGGAACGACTGTCATCAACACCGTCGAAGTCATTGAGAGGCCAGTGGTAGCTAATTGTGAACAATCCCTCAACAATGCTCCCAACTTCCGACTAATCACGGAACCCTTGCCTTTAGGTTACTCGTAAGTAGATGTGCTGCATCAACTGCTGTTTCCAAACATCTCAAGTTCTCCTGAAAGCCCAAAAGAGTACGTGCTTCCGTAAACCACAGAGTTCACCCCCCTTCATCTAAACACCCATGGATCACGCCCCATAAATCACATAAATCTCCCCCGACGTATCACTCGACACAAACAGCCGTCCCTTCGCATCAAACGCCAACCCCACCGGCCGAAAACAATTATTCGGACAATCCCCCACGTCCCCATTCTCCAACACCGGCACCTGCGCCGTCGTGCTATCCGCCGCCTCCACGGGCTGCCCATCTTCCGCATTAAAATCCACCCGCATCACCCGATACCCATCCGCCGGACTCCGATCCCAGCTACCATGAAACGCAATATACGCCGCCGTCCCATCCGCGGTAAACTTCACGTCCAGCGGTGCCGTGTGAGCAGGGAAATGCAGCCGGCCCGTGGCGCGCGCCGTGGTGTCGTCGCAGGCGCCGATGTCGGATGGGTCGGGCACATCGTCCGGGTGGAAGAGGTCGCCGACGGAGAGGTTTGGGAGGGAGGTGATGCTGGAGGGGTCCCAGGCGGGGACGCAGGAAGGGTAGCCGAAGTTGCGGCCCTTTTGAGGGTTGTCGGTCGCGTTGAGGATGCCGTGGTAGCTGAGGCGTTCGGCGGGGTTGTTGGTGTGGATGTCGACGCCGTTGAGGTGGATGTCGTCCATTTGGTTTTCGACGGACCACTGGTAAAGGATTTGTGTGTTAGCTTTGATTTCGATAAGTGGGGTACCAAATACTTTAGCATCATGATATGGGGAAAACGCACAATCCCACCAAACACCGGATCCTCCGTCAACCCAACAATATTCCTCAACCCCCAAGCCAGCACCTCCCCGCCCTCAGCATAATCATGCGCAGCCTGCAAACCCTCACTAATACTAAATGTCTTAATGATACTGCGCGCAGCCGCCTGGTCCACAGTGGTGTTGTCGACGTTGGCCCCCGACCCCCGCGCGACTAGGATTGTGTCAGGGGACCATTGGGACGTGGCGATGGCCCGCGTCGGGTGGGTGCCCTGGAACGACATGCCTTTGACGATTTGCGTGCCTGCGTCGACCGAGCCTGTGGTTGCGTCGTAGGTGTAGGCCGTGACGCTGGCGAGGTTGGAGGTGAAGAGGGTTTTGCCGTCGCCGCTGAGGGCGATGCCGTGGTTGGTCTGGGGGTATATTGTTAGGGAAATGGGTGTTCTAGCCAAGGGATTTGTTGTTGTTGAAAAGAAGGGGGGGCATCTCATACCGAGCCACTGGCAACCTCGTTGCTCGATGCAACGCACACGATGTCTTCTTGATCTTCCAGCACAAGCCGCGTAACACTTTGCGTGCCGGCCTCGGCCACGAGCAGGTTGCCCTCCGAGTCGATAACAATATGCCGCGGGCTGGTGAGGCCGGTAGCCAGCACGGAGTAAGTGTACCCTTCGCCCAGCTTGGGCTCAAACCGGCCGGTCACACCAGAACAGGTGCCGGCGGCTTGAGCCTTCACGTCCGAGGCGAGCATCGTCGTGAGGGCGACGGCGCCCGTGAGCTTGCTTAGGACACCCATGGTGAGAATCAATGTCTGTGTGTGTTTATGGTCAACCGAATTCCGGGTTGAAATCTAGATTGGAATCAGTCTAAACGGCCATCAACAACAAAAGCCCAAACCTCAAAAACACATCTCTCCTCAAAAATAGCAGTGACCGCCCATCTTATCCCTCTCCAGCAACCCTCAGCCATTCCATCATCGCAGCGACGGAAAAACTAGAACGTAACCTCGCAATTTAATTACACTACATCCTTCAAAGCTCCCAAGCCCGATCGCCCCGAATCTCACCGTCCCTCTTTCAACAATCACCACCATCTCTCAGCGAAATTTCAAGGGGAAGGTGTCAACAATGGCACCCAAGGAGCGGGGGTTCCCCATCTCCGCTTTGCTTGGCGGTCATGCCTTGTTGCGCTGTATTGCGCTTCCGGCAATTCTCCCGGATCGGCGGGCTCGGCGTTGATACCCTTCGGGCTGTCGAACCCCGAACCCGTCGCGGCGGCAGGAGACCGGGGTGGTTGGTAGGTGCGGATCGATGGATCGATTGGAACTATGCCGTACTGGGGGTGAAGAAAGATACCGGTAAATATAAAATCTGTGCATAGGTAGGCAGTAAGAGAGTGGCGTACCCTGACAGCCCGGGTTAGTGGGATGGATTGAAAGCTGCTATGTGCATACGCTTTGCGACCGTCCTCGGCCAGTGTGCTAGAGTAGCTAGACGGGCGAAGGGAATGTATGTCGGAAGTTTGGTCGGTGGCGTTATACTTGGTGACTTGGCTTGAAGGGGGCTGGTAACCGCCAAAATTGCGATCATACTGAAATCCGTTCTCTGGGTGAGTGATGGTTGAACAGTTCTCTTTGCGATTTGCTTTTTTTGATTTCATATGGTCGTTGTGTTCTGTCACTAAGTCTCGCCGGCCACTGATACATGGTGTGCAGGCTTTCCCACATTGTGCGTAACGAAGCGTACCGTTGGGTTGATTAAATCTGGGCAGTCCTAGACGGCAGACTCAATTCAAATTAGGTACCCGCGGTCTGTTGTTGCACAGTTTCAAGATGGCCGCCAAATTTCGTTCAGTTGATAATTTACCGCATCGGCATAGCCAAGACGACAAACAGTGAGTACGAGAGTTGTTAGGGATTGTTGTGAGACCTATGTACTTGCAATACTGCTGCAGTGACACGGAAGCACGTTCAGTCCTTTGTGTCGCTGTGTGCAGGCATTGACAGCGTAGCACACAGGTTGTTGATATGTAATGTACATTACCTGGTCCTTGGATTGTTCCCTCACGATTGACCTGTAATGAGCACTTGGCATTGTTCTTCCTGATTTGAGCATTGTGTGTCCTGATGGAGGTTTCCCACAATCAGCTGCGATGCATCGGGCCGCTTAGCGTCATTATCGGCAGTACGGACAATATACCTCCCATCAGCTCGTAATACCCTCAGATCGGGGCCATTCACCTCACCAATAAGTCACAACTACCCTAATTCACGCTCATTACCCTCACCTCCCCGCCTTTTTTTTCCGCTTCCCGTGTTGTCCCGCACAAAGCATGCTTCGCGAACTCCGGGGTGCCGATCCTGCGCTGAAACAGAGTAGGTACTTACTTTGGATTGTAATGTAAATCCTAAATTAGACGAATGGAGCGGCTTGGTTTTGTCTCACCGCAGCTTGGAAGGGTCTAAGGGGGTTGAAACGGCCGGGTGCTCAGTCAGGATCGTCGGGATGGGGCAGCACAGCCCTGAGAGATTCGATCGAGATAGGGCAGTCGAGCCTGTTCTTGTCTTGTCCTGCCCTGTCCTGACTGCCAGGTGGCCCTGTGTTCCATGATCTTGCTTAAACCCGACCCTGGCCCTGAGTGTCACTTTGAGTGAACCTGGGGGGCTGGATTGCCAGGACAGCCTCAACTTAGGGGTTCTGGGGTCACTGTCCCAGGTTGTTAACGCCGGCCCTAACCATCTGTACCCTACCAAGAAACCTAACCGCGCTCTAAAATCCCATGCCCCAGGCCCAACGGCAGCTCCCGCTTTCCAACCTTCTGGAATGCACGAGGGGGGCGGTGTATTGACTTGACTTTACTCAAGCTGGGGGTTCAGAAAAGCTGAGGAAGTCTCTTTTCTGGTGGGCAGGGGTATTTGGAAAGGAAATTGAGCTGGGGCTGAGGACTGAAGAATGGGTAAGGCTGTGGTGTGTGGGGTTGGTTTCATTCTGCATTTTTGTGTCCCGTTTTGTTCCCCGCTCGGGCGCCTTGCTCCGTGGACGGTGGTAATCTTTTGAAATACTGTGTCTTGTGTAAGCGGTCTGTACAGTACGGCAGGGGTTCAGTTTGAGACTGTCAGTGAGTTCGGGAAGGGGGTACAGCCGGATTTTGGGCGGGCTGTATGGTACTGGGTATTGTACGGACGGTACGTACCAGGGTAATCGACGTCTGGTCATGAGTGTGTAAGTCGAGTTTTTCGGTTATGGGTTTATTTACTTGTTTGTCAATGTGTACGGGTATTAACGGTGATGTCGGAGAAGCACATGATAATAATGAGTACCTTACTGTGTTTTGCAGTATTGTGAAATTTCCGGAGGCCCACACATGTTATGCAACATTGGCAAAGCTTCGGTGTTGAATCTGGACGGAGTAGGCACTCCGAACGGGCAGAGCCGGGTAATATTGCGCGACGAGTATCTGTTGTGAACGTGTTTCGGGGGCGGTTGAGGCTGAGAATGTCGCGGTCACGTTGTATTCAAGGTTGGGTGGCTAACAGGTTAAAGATTTGAACTTGGAAGATGTGCGAGGCTCGGGGGATTGCTTAATTATTTGGGAGAAACATGGTGATGGTTTGTTTCTGTGGAAATCGAAAAACGTGTGTGGCTATGAATTCTCTGCCTGAGATGATGAGAGCATCAAGTTGGGAGCAACCGCGATGCACTACAACAACGATCAATCACAATCACAAAATCCCCTACCACAAAACAGCAAAAATCAAAAGCTAAAAGAAGAAAAAAATCCAAAAGCTTAAACTACAAAAAATTTCACCGTCCTGACCTTTCCCCACCCGTCGGTGGAGGGATAGTAGTCGGCTACGAAAAACCCCGTCAGAGTTTTTACAGTGGCAGTGGCGGAGGAAGATGGGATGAAACCATGGAAAATGGCGTTTGGGCCTAAGGCACGGTCTTTCGGAGGGACAGTAAAAGCAGACAGGCTGATGAAGACGAGGATGATGGTGGTCGATGTATTCATCTATGGGAATAATTTACAAGAAACGGGTAGTCAGTGTTTCGCTATCGATCGGTTCATGACGTGTGGCGAGCCAGGCCAGGGTCAAGTTTGGCAATGGGGTGTCTGAATTGAATTTCAGATGCTGATGATTCTGATAGCTTCTAGCAACTAAGAGTGCCTAACAGGCCTAATAATGTGATGTAGGGAATCAAGGCACGCGAGATGTTTGCGCATAGCTCGGAAAATCTGGCGGCCAACTCGAAGAGAAAGGACAAGAAAAGAAGAAAAAATCGCAGAACTCAGCCCGTTCGCAATGATATGCTCCTCATGGGCTATGGCGTCGGGCCTTGGTTAACCGTACTTGGTTTAATCGTCCCGCTCCACGCGGCCGAGCAGCGACGCCAGCTCCTCGGGCGACAACTTCATCTCGCTCGAGTCGTAGCCGTTGATACAAAAATCGATGAGCCAAATCTTGACTTTGCCCGCCAGGAGATTAAGGCTTGGCCTTTCCATTCGTGATGTTCAGGCCGCCGAGGTATTAGTACCTCCCTGGGCTATGACGGGTTCCTTCTCCAAGGGTATACGGCCGTGCCCAGAACCGCGGTACTCGCTGAAGGCAAGGTTCAGTCTGGCCCAATCCCACTTGCGTCCCAGGATCAAGAAGGCAAAGCACAGCACCGGCACCATCAGGACGTCGAGGACACCGAAGAAGATGGCGCTGCCGGTGACGCCGATGACGTAGCCGCCGTCGCTCAACCCGAAGGCGACAGGGTAGAGCAGCCACAGCATGTTCGGCCACGCGGCGAGAATGACATAGTCGCGGCCGATGCCGAGGCGAGCCGCGAGGAGGCGGCTCTCGTTGAGCGTGCTCATGGCGAGGATGACCCACGAGAAGGTGCCGAAGGCGAAGAAGCCCCACTTGTAGTTGGTGGTGGTATAAGCGGCAGCGAGGTAGGTAAGAACCCAAAGCCAGGCGATAAAGATGTTGCAGATGATGGTGGTCCATGAGACACCAGACAGCAGTCCAAGAGCGAGAACGACAGCTGGGAATGATATGCTCCAGTTGATGTACTTCGCGTAGAAGACCTGGCGGACTAAGCCGTTGCCCGCGTTATCGGCCTGCTTGACAGCGCTCCACCCGAGGTCGGAAGCCTGGGCATAGTAGGCCACGGCACCGACCAGGAGAGCGACGGTGAAGGTGTAGTGGAAGACTCTCCGGCTCTCGTGGGAGGCGAAGCAGAAACATAACAAGCCCAGCTGCAAGTTTGTGAGTGTGTGGCCACAACTACCAGAGAAAAGAAAACAAAGGGAAAGGAAAAAGAGAGAGACGAAAGCTGGGACCTACGAAAGCAACGATATAGATGGCTGTAACCGCCCAAAGCCATTCGGACCCATGCACAGAAAGGGTCTCGTCAACTCCAGCCGGAGGGTTGGCGCTGAGAGCGTCGTTTCTCGTCAAGAGAAGGGCCATTGTTGTTACTAAGGTCACCTCAGTGTTGCGTGATAAGTAAAGCTCTTACAATGAGTCTGTTTTATTATCGCTGTGAGACTGGGAACTTGCCGTCTCTTATAGCCGCTGCGTGTCAAGTGGCCCCCGGCAGACATCGGGCTTACTGAGACAACGGTTCCATGATTGCACCGAACCCCGGCTGCCCAGTATCTGAATTCCAGAGCTCCCGACACCAAATTCTTTGTGGAAAATTAGATATGGCAGTCACGGGGGCCGTGTGGGAGCAAATGCGGAAGCAAATGCGGAAGCAAATGCGGAAGCAAACGCTGCTGAGTCATCTGCGATTGGTGCCAACGGAAGCTGATTCTGACAAATAGAGAGACACGCCGCTACGCAACTCGTTAAGCCCCATGCCGGATAGTGGTAGTTTTGCTTCCGCACATTACAGAGCAGGACAACGCAGAGCCGTCAGCGTCCTCCAAAGTCTCGACAGCGGAGGCGGGCGCAAAGCGAATGCAAAACGGACGCAAAGTTCAACCATGGATCTCACGGGAGTAGCAGGCGCACCAGCAGCGATAGCGAAGCCCTCCAGGATCTTCATAGTGAGTCCTACTTCGTGCTTCAGCCGAGAAAGCCCCACACCTTGTCTCTGACATTTCAAGGTTGACAGGCGTGTATCTGCTGCAAGGCCCGCAAGAAGCGTTGCGATGGCGGTACACCCAGATGCGGCAGCTGTGTGGCACGTGGCGCAGAATGTGACTATGCCCCGGTCCGCAGGACTCGAGGTCCGGGAAAGAGGTAGCCAGCAGAGACTCGGAGCCGCATTCGCCGCCTACTGACTTGCCGCCAGTGAGAGACACAGAGAGAGACCTGCAGAACCCTTGAGCGAAACCGAACTCGTTCTACCCTCCTCTGGGCTGCCTAACAGCACAACTCCTGATCCCATCAACTCGATACCCTCCTCCACAGAGAGACTGGTGGGCCAACCAGGTCCATTAGTCCGAGTGACCGCCTCCGCTGGGTCATCCAAGACACAGATAAGTCCCGCCAAAAACCTCATTCCACTGGCCGCAGACTTCCTTGTTCCTGGCGTCTTCGAACTCCAAAAGACGATGGAGGAGAGTTTTAAAGAAGTCACCGCCAACAGACGCAAATTCGTCCCACTACTCCCGCGCCACTTTTCGAGACGTCTCATGCAGAATGTGTTCGGAGAGGCCATGGGGGGATATCAGCTTCTCGACCAGCCCAGCTTCGTCACACTCCTTGAAGAGCACTACGCAGCCAGTCCTGTCGATCCGGCTGACAGTCCTGCCAGATGGGCCCTCGTCAACGCCGTCATCGGTCTTATGCTCCGGGCCAAGATCGCCCCAGGCGCAGAGACCGAACTGTCCAGATACCCCCGGGCATTCTACCGCAACGCCACGGCGGTAATCCCGGAGCTCATCCTGCAAGACCCGAGTTTGCTTTCGATACAAGCGCTGCTTGCTATGGCCATGTTCGCGGAGGCAACGTCGGACACACGATCCTTTGTCATGTTGGCAACCACTGCTTCGCGTCAGCTGGAGCTACTACTAGCAGCCAACCAGGGACGAGTGCCAGCACAGCAAGTGCTCGATATGGCGGAGCGGGGACAGCTCGAGCGGGCATACGAGATTGCTTCGGCATTCGAGACGCTTGCCGCGCAGAGATACGGGATCCGGTCCCTGTTAAATAGTGATGAAATCGAAGGGAGTGCATTATAGCTATGGAGCGGCCCACGGAGGATACGAGCTATCCGTAATTACCATACTGGGCTTCCGTGTTGAGGATGGCTGTCGCTGATGACGGGACAAGTCTAAGGTCATGGTAATACTCGTAGTAAGAGGAAAGCGTTCAATAGTAGACAGGTCGGGTGACAAATGGGAAAGTTGAAGGAAAAGGCCCCAAAACACCAGTAACTAGTTAGCAGCAATCAAAAAGCTCACCAGCCAACCCTCTTCGCCAGTGCAAGGAGGGGTGGCTGGTTACGAGAACCCCGGTGGGTTTTACTTCGCCGCGGACGGGCGGGAGTCGAACCGGCGGCCTCTGGGGAGAGGTCACCTGACCGGGGCCCCGGGGGGGGGGGGGGGGGTTAAGGTCCCCGCGCTCCCACCGTTAGAATATTTGCCCATTCGGAGGGAGCTGGTGTCAAGGGAGGTGCGGCAGTTGTATATATAGACCCGGGGCCGGGAAGGAGCGCCAGGACATGGTTAGGATAAGTCGGGGAACTGAGAGACTGCATTTTATGTATTACTCCCCTAGGTGCCATCTACATCGAGCGACGCACCTTTGAGATCTCAGCGACGCACAACATCGATGGCGGCACGTCCTGCATGTCCGAGCGCACTGGCGCGTACTGCACCGGAAATCAGCTAGTGCAATCCGGGCGATAGCGGAAAGCGGAATCCGCGCCGAACAGGAGGACCCATCATGGCGCTGCTGCTAAGCAGTGACTAAAGACCCCAAGAACCCTTACCGCGTCAGGATCGCCTGCAGGAACGAAACAGAACACTTGGTAAAACTTCTACCCATGGCTACCGTGATCGCTCCGGGTAGTCAGCGCTCCTGGGCCGCCCGTTCCAACCTCCAGTTCGTTGTTGGTCCGTGTCTCGTCTCTCCAGCCAGCCACGGGTCGAGAACCGAGACACAAAACCCAATTGCACGGCACCACAGACCGTCTTGGCTGTATGATTTGGCGATTAGCGAGCTGCAACGGTGGACTTTGTTCCTCGACCAAAGAATTTGAGACACCACCTGCGGGCTGGTTTTAAATAACTGGATCAACAGCACGTTTCTCTTACATGCAGCACAGTATGGTTTTGGCTGACCGTGCGCGATATGTAGACGGTGTTGGAGCTGGGTTTGGACAGGCGTTCGATTGATTTCAGTGATGGATACATTGTCGGGGGCATGAGATCTAGGCTTCTACCCATCGGCCTACTCTAGTACCAACCCCAGAATGTTTGCGAGTAGGTTATGTTTGATGCTACAATGTTTCATCATCCGGCCCGGCCGCTACACTTTTCGGATTCCCATCAGAGCGGCCCGCCGTTCGTTCCCCGGAAGCCCCAGGCTAGCGTCGGTTGACTCGGGGCCTGGCCCTGGCATTTGCTGGGGCTTTGCCGCTTGGGGGGCGGGGCGGGGACGCCGAGATCCGGGAAAGTGGAGAATGTTGCCCTGGCGATCGCTGGGGTTTGGTGAGAACAAGTCTCATCGTGACCTTGGCTTTCGCTGGGCAGGCTAGGGTGTTGTCGGTGGGTTGGAGATTTTGGGGGTCGATGGGGTTGATGTTGGGATGCGGTGGATTGGAGGAGAGAGAGGGAGAGAAGGTGAAGCGGCCGTGTTTCCTGTGGCTTTCGGGACCTAACCTGGAAGTTGATCTCATGGGATCCGAGGTTCTTTGCCGGGTTTATTTCTCGTCGTCTTTGGAAATGGTGTGTAGATTCTATGTTCGATTTGGACGTCCAATGTTGAAAACCCGGCCATTTCGGACACAACATGAAAAGTCGCACTTTGTCGTGGGTTTATGTGAGGTTACCTCAAAGCTCCAGGCGTTTGACCAAAACGGCCAGGCTAGGCCATGCGGGTCAGGGTCAATACGGTAACGGCATCGTCAGCGGCACCGATTGTGGCGCCCACATGGGATAGCCGGCAACGGAAGCGGCAGCGGAAGCGGCCTGCAACCAACCTGGAAGCAGGCGGTTTGCGCTTGCCGGCCGGGTGAATGCCGTTAGGTAAAGGTCGGGAAGGCATTGAATGGCCGCTCAGAGGAAGGTGGAGAAAGCCCATGCTCCGAGGCCCCACGGAGAATTTTTTTTGGTCACGGAAACATGCAAAAGAATGATGCACGTTGCCCAAACCGAGAGGAGGGGGACGATGCATCCCCTGCTGAAGCGGTTCCTCTTTGGGATTTCTAGTGTACGCCCGGCTTTCCCAGTGGATTTCGAATTGGTGGTTTATCTTCCATGTTTTCCTTTCCCTCTTGTCCACCCGGGCCTGTCCCAACTTGCGCATCTCGGATTCTCACATACGCACTCGCTCACTCTCGTTCAATCTCATACGTAGCCGGGCCCGGAATACGGCGACGAATTGATAGGCGGCACTCGCCGACTCCCACGAGGCTGTGCCGCATCGGCTCCGCACTTTGTCGGCATCCGTCGAGGTTGCTCGGCCGGCCCAACACTCGTTTGAGGGCAACGCAAAAGAGAAGAGGATGACGGAAATGCCCGACAATGGCCGGGTTGACAGCACCAGGCCCGAAAACGCCAGCTATACGAGCACGGCCTCATCAACCGCCTCTCTTTCCGACTCCGCGAAACGATCTAGCCGGGATTGCCAAAGTGATTTCAACCCGGCGCACCCCGCAACTGACGCCATTGACCACGAAAACATAGCCCACAACCATGACGGCTCAAACAACAACAACAATGTCACTACTGCATCCCAAGCGACGGAGAAAGGCGCCCCGCCTGTGGCCGACGGTGATGAGCTTCCCACAGGGGCCGCGCTAACCCTTCACCCGTCGACAGCGACAACTATCGAATTCCCCGAAGGCGGGCTGACGGGCTGGCTCGTCGTTTTGGGATCTTTTTGTGCCATGCTCTCGCTTTTTGGTTTAATCAACTCCGCGGCGGTATTCGAGTCGTACTTTTCGACGCACCAGCTAGTCGACAAGACAGCGTCAGAGATTGGCTGGATTTTCAGTCTCTACTTGTTCATCGTGTTTATTGTCGGCATTCAAGTGGGGCCGATTTTTGACCGGTATGGTTCCCGCGTACTGGTCGCGGTGGGAGGGCTTTTGATTTTTTTGAGTTTGCTGTTGTTGAGTTGGTGTGAGGGTATGTTTTGGATTTATTTTTTGCCATCAAATCCGAGCGACTGATTTTGTTGTTGGGGCGTAAGCAGGCTGATAAAGACGCAGAGTATTACCAAATTATCCTCACATATTCAGTCCTCGGCGGTCTGGGAGGTGCGCTCCTGAATAGCCCCGCGTATGGGGCGATTGCGCACTTCTTCAATGTCCGCCGCGGCCTCGCCACCGGCATTGCCTCTACGGCTGGGGGAGTAGGCGGCGTGGTCTTCCCTGTCCTGCTCCGGGCACTGCTCCCGAGCATCGGCTTCGCATGGAGCTGCCGAGTCTTGGCCTTCATCATGTTAGGACTCGCCATCCCGTCCAACCTCTTCATCAAAACACGCCTTGCTATCGCTCGTGGCCCCGACGGGCGGGCCAAGGTTCAGTCGGTCTGGCCTGACTTCAGCGTGTTCAAAGACGCCCGGTTCGCCTTCGCCTCCGTCGGCATCTTCTTCATGGAATGGGGTCTATTCATCCCCCTAACTTACATCGTCTCCTACTCCGCAGCCCACGGCCAGGATGCCACAGAGAGTTACCTGCTGCTCTCCTACCTGAACGCCGGTTCTGTGTTGGGCCGGGTGCTGCCGGGGTTCCTCGCCGATCGATTTGGGCGGTTCAACGTCATTATTGTTACCATCGCGTTGTGCGTCATCACCATCCTCGCTCTGTGGCTGCCGGCGGGCACGTCTGAGGCCATGTTGATCGTGTACACCGTATTGTTTGGGTTTGCGAGCGGGAGTAACCTGGGCCTGGTGCCTGTATGTCTGGGTCAGTTGTGTGATCATAGGCGGTACGGGCGGTTATACTCGACTGCCATGATGGTAGCGAGCTTTGGGACACTCAGTAGTGTGCCCATTGGAGGTGCGATTTTGGATGCGGGGGTGTCGGAAAATGGTTGGCGTAACTTGATTATCTTTGCTGGTGTAGCCTACTTTGTGGCCCTTGTGTGTTACGCGAGAGCAAGGTCGTTGGCGGTGGGGTGGAATCCGCGGAAGATTTTCTAGGACGTTTGGATTATTCCATGGAGGCCATGAGGAATGCGGGTTCCCGCCGAGGGGCAGATATTAGACCACTCCCGGTGGTAAGAGATTTTGGTTAAAAAGACCTGAAGTTGGATAACTCAAAGCCTTTCTTGAATAAAAAAAACATCAAAAGTTGGCGAGGTTGTCCAGTCTTGGCTGTCGTGGATTTAAAGTTCCCCGTTGGATATCCATGGCCGTCGGGACGGCACAGTTGTCGTGGGAATTAACTGTGCCTTCAACCTCGGGAGCGGCCAGGGGGCGTTACGGCCCTGTCAATCTTAATGCTGTGCCTCATCGTCCGAGATCGTGAACCTCGAAGTTGAGATGGTTCCGGGCCTCCTGGTCGCAGCCGACGGCCTCATTTCTGCAGGCGGTTGGTCCCCTGGCCAGGTCGAGGGAACCCCCAAGGCACATGCGGCCAGGCAGCCCCACAGTTACCCGACGTCACCCAAACCGCGGGGCACCTGCTGTGCCGTGGGGTTTAGTGGGATGACCCCGCCAAAATTTTCGGCCGAGTCTCGTCGATTTGAAACGCTTTCAACTTCACCTACCACTCGCCCCTCGCCAGGGACCCGGTACAACATGACCGCCGAACTATCAGCAGCCCCTGTGCTGTCTACACCAGCGGAGCATGTCTTCGAGTATGCTGTTGCCTCGTCAAGTCCTGGCGACACAGTCCCACCAAAGTCAGACGATGAAGTGCGCAAACTTTACGAGATCGAGCGAACAGCGAAAGAAGTACGCCAGGGCGGATGGAAGAGGATAGCCCTCCAGTTCCCGGACCACATGTTGGGAGACGGGCCACGGGTGGTTGAAGTACTCAACGCAGAACTCCGTTGCCTCCCGAACCCATCCGAATCCCCAGCGCCTGCTGAGAGGATATACATCCTTGCCGATACATCCTACAGCGCCTGCTGCGTCGACGAAATCGCAGCCGAACACGCCGACGCCGACGTCGTAGTGCACTACGGACGATCCTGTCTCTCCCCCACCTCCCGACTCCCCGTCATCTACGTCTTCACCCACCACGCCCTCGACCACCCCGAGACCCTAGCCGCATTCGCGAAACAATACCCAAACAAAGAAACCCACGTCATCCTCATGGCAGACGTCACCTACCAAGACCACATCCCCTCCCTCGCGTCCGAACTCCACCACACACACGGCTACACCAACCTCCTCTCGACCACCGTAATACACGACCCGAGCGGTGCAATCCCCAACCGGAAACTCGTCCACCCCGGCAGCAGCGAGCTCACCGAGGTTGCCTCGTCCTCAATCGACCTCAAATCACACCAAATCTTCCACATCTCCACCCCGCCTACCTCCCTCCTCCTCGTGCTTGCGTCCCGCGTACAGGACCTCCACATCTGTCCCACGCCGGACTTGGCGTCTCCGGATGCTCCGTCGTACTCACCCACCCGCCTTTTGGGTCGTCGCTACGCGCGGTTGCTGAGTCTTGCGTCGGCCGGGATCATTGGGATTCTGGTGAACACGTTGTCTGTGTCGAATTACCTGAAGTCAATAGACGCGCTGCGGAAACAGATTGCGGCGGCGGGAAAGAAGAGCTATACCGTTGTTGTTGGTAAGCTGAACCCGGCGAAACTGGCCAATTTTGCTGAGGTGGACGGGTGGGTGGTGGTTGGGTGCTGGGAGAGTGGGTTGGTGGAGGATGATGCGGGGTTTTTTAAGCCGGTCATCACGCCGTTTGAGTTGAGGGTTGCGCTGATGGGGGATGAGAAGCGGGTTTGGGGTGGGGATTGGTGGGGGGGTATTGAAGGGGTGCAGGGTGATGGTAAGGTTGAGGAGGGGAAGGTAGAATCAGGGGAGAATGGGGAAGAGGGCGATGAGGAATGGGATGAGGATGAGTCTGCGCCACCAGATTTCGATCTCAGGACTGGGAAGTTGATCACACATGCTCGGCCAATGAGGACTGGGGTTCCAAGAAAAGTCAAGAAGACCGAGGAGGATAAGACGATAGATGGGAAGAGCGATCAGTCAAGTAGTGCCCTGGCGGTACTGTCAAAGGGAGAACTGGCCATGGTCAACGGAGTGGTTAGCCCAGGAGCTGAGTTCCTCCGGTCGCAAAGGACATGGCAGGGGTTGGGCAGTGATCATGTGGCGGAAGAAAGTACGGCGATTGAAGAAGGGAGGAGTGGCGTGGCGAGGGGGTATACTGTGGGTGATGCTGAGGTGAAAAGGTAGCATAAAGTGTGAAAGGAATGAAGTGAACAACGACTTCAGGCACCTGTGGATGTATGTGAACTGTGTCTCAGGAGGGCATTTGAAAAGGTGCTGTCATTCACAACGTGAAAAGAGGGCGCCTGTATCTCCAAGGCAGGAGTCTATCACCGCCTACTTCTCGAGAACCAAGGCGCTCTTGGCAAGAATGGGCTGTCGGGATATGGACATGGTCTCGATGGCTGCATCTCTCCTCACATTGTCAACCCTGGAGACAACTATGTTGGCAAATGTCATTGAGAAGTTTGTGCAGGGGATCCACAAAGCCGAACTGCGGGCAGAGGCGATCGACAAAGGGGCTCTGAACTGTCGAAGCCTGATCCACTGCTACGAGACAGTTAAAACTAGCCAGGCCGTCCTGGATCAGGAGGCCCGCCATCTCAACGAGACCCTGGCCAAGGCGAGGTCGAAGATGATGGAGAAGCTACTCCTCCAAAGGACCAGCCTCTCTGCGGATGCTCTCATAGCGCAGCATTTCCCCGCAGGAGGCCGACGCCAAGGGGGCCATAAACCCGAAAACCGGCGAATGAATGACATATATGGCAGCTCTATGAGGCCCTCTGGTCCTTCGATCCACCCACGCTCTCTCCTTCCCTCCCTGCCTATCCCCTCGTACACAAAGACCCCTACAATCCTTCTCCCTTCCCCACCTCTTACAACCCCCCATCGCTGTCTCCTACCCCGCGATCGACAGCATGCTCAAGGCGTCTGGCGCGCGTCACATACAGGGCCTCATGATACTCTTCGGCCTTATCAACCTCTCGTCTAGCGCTGTCGGCTGGGCGGAGCACTATACGGTCCACCTGCCAGTGGCCACTGCAGGTAGGAGGGTCATAATAGGACTTGGTGGCTTTCACCCACCTTTTGGCCACCAGGGTAGGGTACGAGGTGAAGACGATATTTGCTGTAGTGGAACGCTTACCACTCTCCTTCAACCAAGTACCCATACGTCCGTCCAGCTCTGTCGTGTTGAGTATGCTGTCCTTCCTGGGGTCACCCTCGCTGATGGTTGCTGAGGACCTATAAAATGACCAAAGCCTCAGGTCCGTGGTGTTGCGGTTCCCCTTGGCCGCGGCGGCGGGAACGGCGTCCTTAGCCCGAGGCGTCGGACTTTGCCCGCTGCGGTCGCGGCGGTTCTTGTCCTCTGGTTTCTTGAACTTGGCATGGATCTTGGCTGTACCATGGTATCCGCAAAGGAAGGAGATGCTAGGCTGGATGTGGCGGAAGAAGTCTGTCATTGTGGTTGTGTGGGCTAGGAAATTTGAGGTTAGTATGTGATACGGGCGGCGGGGTGATCGAAACGGCGAAGGGGTATGGTAATTATCTTCAAAATCCCATGATTAATTACCTGGTTCATGGATGGGGTGGGTGGTTTTTATTTCTTGCTTGACGCGAACTGGCTGGGTTTTATGATGAGAGGACAGAGTGGAACTTGAGAGAACAGGTTGAAGTTGATGTAATTTTGCACTTAGTTATTGAAAAGGTGTGATGTTTAGTCCTGGGAGCCAAAGAATCTTGCAACGTACGGTTAAAACCCACTTGAAAACTCTTTCCATTCTTGTCAAGGCATTGTCGACCGTATTCAGAAAGCCAGGGTGGGTGGCCGGGGCGGGTGACAGTTGTTGCCGATGCCTGGTCAAATTCCATCGTGGAAATCGGCGGCCTAGTTCTGAAGGAATGATCTGAGTTTGTTTACCGACAGGATTTAGAGACAATCGGTCACCGCCTATTAGAGTAAAGAAACACGAACAACAAAAGGCCAGGCAAAGAGAAGGACAGCGACATCACACTTCGTTCCACATACATGCATAGTAAGCCCTAACTTGTCCCATCAGTCGGAGACGAAACGTAATTAGAGGCGATGAAGCAGAACGGGCTCAAGTCTCTTTCCACTAGGTATTAACACAACAATCAAAAGGGGTATCAACACATCCATCCTTCTTCGAAAAGACAGCCACCCATTCCCCGACCAAGTACATAAATACCCTTGCTTACAGCGCCATCATAGCCCCAATTGCCGCAATCCCAACTCCAACACCCGCCCCAGCCAATCCCGTACACCTCGGCAATGCGACACCGCCGTTAGTCGAACTCCCATCCTGACCATATGCGGTCCCGTACCCCCCATTCACACCCCCACTGGCCTCAGCCGGCGGACAACTCGCGGTACAAGGCAAATCAGACGCAAACGGCGTCGGCACGCCAGTACCCGTAGCCGTGGCTCCGACTTGCGTCAACACCGGCGGCTGAGCCGCAGTCAGCGAGAAATTCGGCCGCGCATTGGCCTCGTCCGGGCCGAGGACATTATCGATCAGATGCACAACGCCGTTGGAGACCAAAATGTCCGCTTGTAGAATCTCCGCCGAGTTCACATAGATAAAGTTCGTGTGCCGCGTAATGGCCAGCTTGTTGCCATTCTCAGCCGACGCCAGCACGCTCTCGTTCTTCAACTCCCAGATGTGCGATACCCGGCCAGGGACGACATGGTACCGCAGCACGCGGCGGAGGGTCTCGGTGTCCATCCGCTCGAACGTGCCGGCCAGCTGCTGGAACGCGGCGTTGCGCGGCGCGAAGATGGTTACGTCCTTTTGCCCTGCGACTTCGTCGATCAGATCGGCGGCGTAGAGTGCGCCGACGAAGGCGGTTAGGTCGGTGTAGGCGCTGCGCGCGGTGGACTCGATGCCTTCAGGCACGCGCATCACGGAGTCGATGATTTGGATTTTGCCGTTGTCGAAGGAGAGGTCCTCGACGACGATGGTACCGCGGGTTGCGAAGCCCGAGGTGAGGACCACCTCTTCGCTCGGCTGTTTGTTGAGGATTAGGTGTTGTCCGCCGGAGACGCTGGTGTAGTCCTTGTCGGTGAGGTCCGTGGCGGCCCAGATGGAGTCGCCTTTGAGGAGGGACGTGGTCGTGATGCTGCCCTTGAGGACGTGATAGTGAAGCGTGGAATCTAGCCGGCTGTCGCTGTAGGAGTCCCAGTCGCCGAGCTTCCCAAAGGCATTATCGTTCGGCGCGGCGATTGTCACCTCGCCGGAGAACTTGCCAAAAATATCGGGGTGTTTCTGATCATTTTGTTAGCGGGACCATCGCGTAGCAAATGATACACTGAAACTCACTTTGATCAAGCCACGAAATGTTGTGAGATTGGCCTGCCCAGCAAGGACACTTTCGAGGCTTGCGGCCTGGGCGGACATCGCGGACAAAAGAGCCGTAGAAACAACGCCCAGCAGGGCGGTAGTAGATCCGAGAACCATCTTGCAAACGGGCTTTCAGCCAACCCACCGATGTGAAAATTATCCGTTCAACGATAAGCGTTTGAGTGAGTGAGTGAGCGACTGATGAGAGGGACAAATGTGCTTGGTAAAAAAAACAACCACCTCGAACCCGCCGCCGCGATGGACAGGGCCGCGAGAAAACACAAACAACCCACAACGATTTAAATAATAAATGAAAGGATGAAAGGGCGCAGCTATACGCCGTAAGCTGAGAAGGAAGGCGCAAAATAAAACCACCAAGCCTGATGGTCTGATGGGTTACATCCGCCAAGGAACCCATCTCATCTCCTTTCCATCCATCCCTTTCCCGTCCACCCCCTGTCCAACTTTACATTCTAGCCTCCAACTCAATTCTAACGGCAAAATAGCATTCCGTCCGTTTCGTTTGAGGGTACACTAGCATAATAAGAGGGGAGCCCCCAACCGCTGCGCTGCACCATGCTGTCCGTCACGCGCCCAACCGCGTCGCTGTCTGCACGATTTGGTGCCTGCTTGCTCCACTTGCCCGTGGAATGGAACGCTAAAAGTTAGGGGAACGCCCGAAATAAGCCGCGGCCCCGCTGGAAGCCCTGTGATATTGAGCGCCAAGCTCCCACTGGATTGGCCGAGACCGCGCGATTGCTGAATGTTTTCCATGTGTCTGGACTGTGCCGCTCCCGCTCACTTCCCGCTGCGGTTCAGGCACCGAGTCCGGCCCGTCCGGGCAATACGCTCCGCTCTCCACAAGTCGTGCTCTCGGGCTTCCTCCCTTGTGGTCGAACAGCTCGCCCTGCGTAATTGGACCTCACCCTGTGCATGGCTGTTTCATGGTGTTGTTTGTTTTTAACACTGGAATGTCAAGTTCGTCAAGCGGACGGCTTGCGTCTCTCGAACGAATTAAGCGGGTGTCGGATGGGGCCGAGATTCTTCGGCTCCATTGCAAGCGAGACGCGGGCTGGATTAAGATCTAATACATCAGGGTAATCAAACGAACGTCTCGGCGAAGGGACTCTTGGTATGGCCCACAAGGCTTCCTTGAGAATTACCTTATTCAAAGGCCGACCCGACTCAACATAACTCGGAGAAATCGTGATGAGTTCAATTGGTTCGTTAAAAATGCCTCACTGCAATAGTCAGCCGCTTTCGTTAAAAATCATTAATGAAGCTCAATAAGTTACCCCAACACTGAAACAGCGCGATTCATATAGTATTCATGGGAACGAGTGTTTTAAGGCAACAGTGAGCTAACATTCGATGCGACCGAAACTCCCCGAATAAGCTAAACATGAAAGTCATAGAGTAGGCCGGCTCACAGCTTATCATCTCCGAAATTTGATGACACCCTCATTCGGTGAGATTGTAAATCTTCTGAATATCCTTAAGAATCCCCGCGAAATCAATCTCAAGATCCTTCAGCAACCCGTCATTGAACCCAAACACCCAGCCATGGACAATGGGGAACTGGTTCTTCGCGTACGACTGCTGGACCGAAGCCGACTTAATGACGTTGCGGGCCTGTTCGTAGACGTTGAGTTCAACCAGGCGCTTATACCGGGCCTCGTCGTCGGCGATCGCATCAAGCTCCTTCTCATGCAACCGGTAGACGTCGCGGATGTTTCGCAGCCACGGGTTCAGCAAGCCAAGGTCCTTAGCCGTCATCGCAGCTTTGACACCGCCACAGCCGTAGTGGCCGCACACGACAATGTGCTTGACCTTGAGGTGCTCGACGGCGTATGTGATGACGCTCATCACGTTGAGGTCGGTGTTGTTGACAAGGTTGGCAATGTTGCGGTGCACAAAGGCGTCGCCGGGTTCCAGCCCCGTGATCTGCTCTGCGGGGATCCGCGAGTCGCTGCACCCGATCCAGAGGTATTCCGGGTTCTGCCCCGCGGAGAGCTTGACGAAGAAATCCGGGTCGCTAGCCTTCTTCTCATCGGCCCATTTCTTGTTGTGGTCGAACACACGGTCATGGGTTTGACGCAGGTACAAGTTGATGTCTTTCTCCGCCATGTTGCGCCAGTCAGCGTCGGCCGTGTTTATTGATGTTGGCGTGGTAGTTGTGGTGGTGGTGGTGGGGTTGTTGTTGTTAGTGGTGGGGCTTCGGACAGCGGAGGATGAGGAGAAAAGGCTTATATGACGGAGTGATGATGGTGGTGGTGGTGTTGTTGCGAAAATCGGCCGGAGTCCGACTCGTTGGGGAAGTGCGTGTCGTGGGAACGCCCGCAGCAATGTTGTGCTAACACGTGAGGCGACCATGGTTACCCCGTTTTCGAACCCTCGCATCCTTTCCCACCGATTCAGCTTCTGCAAGAGTCAAGCTTTTGGTGGAAGGCGCGAGAAAGAAACACGTAAACCCACTGCTGATTCGCGCTAGACGTCTCAACGGTTGGGGGTTTGTCCAGTGTGATAGCAGCCCTAACCCTCTGGACCGTGAATTCTCCTGTCAACCACCCCGATTTGGGACAGACGGATCCCCGGTCCAGTGAATAGGCTGTTTTGGTTATTCCCTATGATTCACTATTGAGCGCCTCCCAATCGGAATCCTTTATACCCGTCTGTTTCCAACCGATTCTGGTCCGGCGTTTGATTCTTTTGTGGTCAATCCTTTGACACGATCGCGTGGGGTTCAAATCGCGCACCGGACCCTCTTTCCCCACTTCTGTCAGGAGTGCGATTTTACCATCTCCGGGAAAGAGCAATCAAAGTGTGGGCTTTCAACTGTTTTGATTGTAACAATAGGTACTGCAAGAAACAGAGTTGCTTGTTCAAATAAACTTCCGGGTAATAAGCTGGAATCAAAATAATGACTCAATTGAGTCGGTTATGAAGTGGTCCTGAGGCATCCTAATGTGTTTATTCAATCCCTCCCACTATTAGACTCCGATACCGGCTAGGATTCTGTTAACCCCATAATGCCAATGTTTCTGCCGTCAATAACCGCAACCGTGGGATGAAAGAGAACTTATTGTGAAGGTCTGTAAACCTGCGCTACTCCAACGCTTCTCAATTCAACTCGGTGTCCACAGTAAGGCAATATATCGAACGGTTGTGGTTGTGCGGATGACACAGCAGCCAACTAGCCTGAGGGACTGAGAGACCCCCCATACCTACCGTACCTTAGTACATTGAGTCGAGTACCGAGTACCTCGTTACTAACAGCAGAAATCGTACCTCAATCTCCAATACCGGGAACAAGACAATGCCGGAAGCAAGACTTCGAATCCGGCGCGTCCCCTCACTGACGTAGGAAGCCGGGTCGTTTGGAGGGGTCTTATGTTGGTCCGCTGCTCCACAGCATGGAACACTAAACTCTGATAGGATGCTCGAGTAGTACATGCAGAGCCATCGCGCTGGGTGGAGAAGGCTCAGTCATACATTGCTCGCTTCGGATCCGGTTATGGAATGCGTGGGGGGGTTTGCTGAGTGGACCGGGAGCAGCCCGGATGAAGACCAAGCCCGGCATAAAGCTACGATCCCTTTCTTCCCGTCCCCCCTCTTCCCTGTATTTTCTCTCTTCTTTTTCTCGTATCCCGCAAAAGTACAATCCCCATTCGCCAATACCATATCGAAGCCCAAGCATTGTACGATGCCCTGGCAAAAGAAATGGCGCCTCTCGCAGGAAACATATCTATGTGATCAAGGTAACTTTAACTATAAAGCAGCCGGGTGTTCGGGAGCTTGCTGTGGCCCGTCGTTTCTCAGCGCTTTTCTCTGCTTGACAAGCAGGGAACAGTGTTGGTTGAGGACACCACAGCAAGCTTCCGTTCTGAGAAATACCGGTCGAACTTGATCTGGATAATACCAGCGAAAGGACATGCTTCTTAGCCTCCCATCCCCCTCTGAAGTGCCATGTCAGGCACGCATGAGTTGGACTAACCATCCACAGCGCAAGCTCTGATCTTTCACGATGTCGACTGACAAGATCACCTTCCTGACCAACTGGTATGCATTAGCACTGACTGATGACAGAGACGATAATGTTGGCTTTGCGGAAGTCTTTTGCTGACACCAGCTTAGGCACGCGACGCCGTACCATGCCCCGCTCTACCTCGCTCAGGCTAAGGGCTACTTCAAGGATGAGGGCATCAAGGTGGCTCTTCTCGAGCCCAACGACCCCAGCGTAAGTCTGGGCACATCAATTATCTCAAGGAAACCTCGGGCTAATATCAACTTCAGGATGTGACCGAGATCATCGGCACTGGCAAGGTTGACCTTGGTTTCAAGGCCATGATCCACACCCTAGCGGTACGTGTTCCTAAGAGATGGTGCCCCTATTGACGTTCTGCAACACGCCACTGACGCTTTGTAGGCCAAAGCCCGTGACTTCCCGGTCCTCTCCATCGGCAGTCTGCTCGACGAGCCTTTCACCGGTGTGGTGTATCTCAAGGACTCAGGCATTACCACCGACTTCCGCACGCTCAAGGGCAAGCGCATCGGCTACGTCGGCGAGTTCGGCAAGATCCAGATCGACGAGCTGACCTCGCACTACGGCATGTCCCCCTCCGACTACACCGCTGTGCGCTGCGGCATGAACGTGTCCAAGGCCATCATCGAGGGCAGCATCGACGCCGGAATCGGCCTTGAGAATGTTCAGATGGTCGAGCTCGAGGAGTGGCTCACAGCCCAAGGCCGCCCCAAGTCTGACGTGCAGATGCTGCGCATTGACGAGCTCGCCGAGCTGGGCTGCTGCTGCTTCTGCACTATCCTATACATTGGCAACGAGAAGTTCATCTCCGAGAACCCGGAGAAGGTGCGCGCCTTCATGCGTGCCGTCAAACGCGCGACCGACTTTGTCCTTGCCCAGCCGGAGCAGGCGTGGGCCGAGTACGTCGACTTCAAGCCGGTCATGGGCACACCGCTCAACCGCAAGATCTTCGAGCGCAGCTTTGCCTACTTCTCGCGTGACCTGAAGAACGTCCAGCGCGACTGGGAGAAGGTCACCAAATACGGCAAGCGCCTCGGGGTGCTAGCCGACAGCTTTGTGCCGAACTACTCCAACGAGTTCCTGGGGTGGTCGTTTGAGGAAGAGTCTGCCGACCCTACTGGCGACCAAAAGCGCATGGTCGCTCTCCAGAAGGATGTTGCGGAGGCCGGCGGTTTCCAGCGTCTTGAGCGCCGCGTTTGCTGCGCCTAAGAAATGACACCGGGGATCTCTCTCATCGTCCCTCGGGACCCAGAGCTCTTTGATCAACCTTCGTTCGGAATGGCAAGATTGATGTACACTCATTTAGCCCCTACTAGGAATCTTAGTCCAACCCAAAGCAACAAATAAAATCTTGCAGCCAAGAAATATTGAAGTGAAAGCTTCCTTGACTTGAGTCGGTTGTGGTGCGGGTTAGGGTTTGCGTGGGAAATCGGGCTGCTGCCTGAAGCGTAAACCAATTACAGGCACTTCCTTCTCACCCACTCAGATGCATGCATGTGTGACTCAACTCATCCTTCCCCTGAGAGTTTCAAGTTCCAGACAGTCCATATTTAAACTTTCCTGCTCCCCTGTGCTGCCGGACTAGTTCCTCTTCTTGAATTAAACAACCGCTCTGTTGGGTGAACCATATATCTCACTTTGCCCAATTTATCATCATCTATTACCACTATGCCTCACGACCACGACTCCACGCTCGAAAGTGGGACAGACTCAAGGCCCCAAGACGTCAGTAAAACCGAGATTCACTTCTACCGTGGGACGAAACTCGGCCAAGTTTTAACCACCCCATTTCAGACTTCTCAAACCAACACCATCACCGCATCAACTGGGAATTCTTTAGACGCTCTCACACCCTTGCTCGGGTCCCTTGCCATCGATGCTTCGTCCACAAGCCCCAACCCTAAGTATTTGGCCGAGACCCCTGAAAGAGAGGATGATGCTGCATTGTCAACCCCAACCCCCGTAGTTGAAGCTGGCCCTGAACCAAGGCAGGGCGTGATAGCGAAGGTGTGGCCCAGCCCGAAGCTAGTGGAAAGCAGCTCCGCTGCATGCGTGCTATGTGGTGTGACCGCTACAATTGAGTCCAAAATCTACGAGACTCTCTGCTGTCAGCAGAACGCCTGCGAGACTTGCTTGACAAACGCAATACCCGATCGCATACAGTCCGATATCTGGTGCCATATGGGTTCGTTGGAGTGGTCTGGATGTATAGCCGGGCAGTGTTCGGCGCGCTCACGGGGATTGGATCTCCCTCTCCGGATTGTACACGCCCAGTTTGGCATGATAACCAACGCCCAGCAGGCTCGTGTGATATTGGAGCTTGTAAAGCCACAGCCGTCACAACAGGAGTGGGAACTGGCCCAGAAGCTGCATCAAACCCTGGTTGAGCATGAGCTTGCCTACGCCTGGGATGAAGCGCCGGGGTTTGATATGAACTCTATGCTGATGCTGCCCGTTCGCTCGGGCTTTCTGACCCAGCGCGTGCCTATCCTCAAGGATATGCTGAAGACTAAGGTGATGCGCTGTGCGCGGTGTTCGTTCGATTTTAATGCTGTGGATACGACGAAGAACGAGGCAGCCTGGACATATGTCACCACGCGTTTCCCTGGAGACTGGTCATGGATGGTGCTGGGTCGCCCGTCCAAAGCTGTCTTGCCTCAGTGTGCCTCCAAGCACTCGCTTGACATCTGCGCGGATTGTCTTCCCAAGTTTGCCTTCGCTGCACTTGAGTTTGTTGATGGTATTGCGGGAGGCGGTAATTACCGCTGGGCGTGTTCGATGTGCAAGGAGATCTGGACACCAAACCTGGTCGAAAAGCTAGCCCGGCTCGTAGATCCCAGCCGTGTCCCGCGAAGCCTATCAGGGTTGTCTATCTCGTCAAACCTCCCTCAAGGGCTGGCCGCGAAGCCCGCTGCTCTCCCATCGTCCTTATCATCCATGTTTAAGCGTACCAACAAGCCGAACCTTCTAGGCGGTGGCGGTTCATCCTTCGGTCCATCACCAGGCCCGTCAGAAACCGCAGCCCACCAAGAGGCGCTAATGAACGCCATCGTTACCAAAAAGCCCAACGTGCGTTGGCGTGACGTAGCAGGGATGTCCATCGCAAAGGAAGAGCTCCAGCGAGCCATTATCTTCCCAGCCAAGTTCCCGAGCCTGTACAATGGAAAGCGCAAGCCGCCCAACGCTATCCTTTTGTACGGTCCCCCTGGCACGGGTAAAAGCCACCTTGCCAAAGCCGTTGCCACAGAAGTCAACCACACTTTCTTCAGCATTAGTGCCGCTGACGTGGTGTCCAAATGGATGGGCGACAGTGAGAAGTAAGTCACCTCTAATTACCCCCCACCACCCCCCTTTCCTCTCCATCTTACTAACCACCAACCACCCGTCAGATTAGTCAGAAACCTATTCACCCTTGCCCGGCAACACGCTTCCTCCATCATATTCCTCGATGAAATTGATGCACTCTGCTCCAACCGCGAGGGCAGCGGATCCGGCGGCGCAGCAGGAGCAGGAGGAATGGGAAACAATGAGCACTCGAGCCGACTCAAAACAGAATTATTACTCCAGCTGGACGGGACCATGCACACCGACGCTCCTGCCGTAGACGGGAATAGCCAGTCCGGGGAAGCGGACAGCAAGAAGAGCGAGAGTAACGGTAGAGTGGTCGTCCTGGCCGCGACTAATCTACCGTGGGTGTTGGACCCAGCTTTCCGAAGACGGTTTGAACCGCGCGTGTACGTATCGTTGCCGGATAGGGAGGCGAGGCGGGAGTTGTTTCGGATTCATGCCGAGGTGGATGAGAATTCTGATGGTGACGAAAAGGCGGCGGCTAGCAAGCGTGGGGATGATGAACGGGGTGGAGAAGGGAGTATCTTGAGTGATGAAGACCTCAATGAACTGGCGGATATGACGGACGGGTACTCGGGGAATGACATCGCGAATGCAGTGAAGCATGCGATGGGTATGCCTGTGAGGGAGGCGCAGCGGGCGAGATATTTTCGCGTGGTGAGTGAAAAGGGGGGGTTACTTGGTGAGAGTGGGAGTGAACAAGGGGGCAACGAGAAGTACTATACGCCTTGTGGAGCGGACGATGAGGGTGCCATTAAGATGGGATGGGAGGATGTACCGGAGAACAGGCTACGCGTAGGACCGGTCACTGCAGAGGATTTCAAGCGAGTCCTGCGGAACCGAACCGTCAAGTCGTCGGTGGGTGCGGGCGAGTCGCAGAGGTATGAAGACTGGACACGTGAATTTGGCGTGGAGGGGAAATAGTAAATGGCTGGGTCAAATCGGGGTGCTGGTGGTACAGATCGTCGTTGAGCTAATGAGGTCATGAGTTGACATTTGGGTGTTGGGATTCTGTTGGTAGTTCTCGGGTAGGGCTAGCTAGCAAGTTTAGGCATACACAAGTAGCATTACTAAAATAGATAGATATTTACATAGTTACACTGAGTCTTAATTGTTTTTATTGCTGTTCTCCCAGGTGTCCTACCTCTGGCTACCTGAGGTCATGCTTCAATCTTGAATTGATATCGACGGTGACGTTGTGTTTTGTCATCTCGACGAACTCATTCTCGACGAATTACATGGGCTTACAATTCCTCTGTATGCAATTCTCTCCTATACAAGGCTGCTATAGTAATGAATCTTTGTCATGCTAGGATTTGGCCGTTCCCAAGTTTCTAAAATACAGGAATTAATCGATGAGTAGTGGAAGTTTACTCTTTAGTTCCACGGCAATCACTCCTTTTAATGCTAATCCATTACTCTATGATCGGGGACACATGCCCTTTTTGCTTAGGACGTCACACTTATTGGTCTCACACATTCTTTAATGACGACGATGTGTATGTACCATGTCGGCCATGGAATGTGGGCCTATCAAATGAACTCTGGTCAGGACTGGGAACCCCCTGCTATCATGGGCGGATGAACAGAGCAGCAGCTCTTCCACCCCCGCATAACAGCCCCAATCTCCCCAGAGCCGTTGGTTTGATATTTGATGATCCCTCCATTCAGCGCACTTCAATTTGTTCCTCCCTTCAGATTTCCCAGCCATCACCAAGTGTCTCAACTTGCCCCTGAATGTCAAACCTAGCCTCACCTTTGGAGTTCTAAGTACCAACTTCACCAAACCCTCACCGCCATGGCCGGGTGGCTACGACTGCGAGAAGTGGTTTCGCTCCAGGTCCCGCGCCCGAGACCAGCACTGCGAGGCCACAGGCCATGATCCTGCTCACTTGTGCGACACTTGTGATTATATCTTCACCAGCAAACATGACAGTTACCAACATATGCGCGCCACGGGTCACTTCGCGGACGGCGACTCCTCTAGTATCTCCTGCCACAGGGACTTCCCATGCGAGGTATGCGACGGCTGGTATCGCACGGACAAGGATTGTGACGACCACATGATTGATGACCATTACTACTGTCGCGACTGCGAACGCTTTTTCGACAGCAGCAACAACATATACCAGGTAAGACGGCGATTCCGCAGACCGGATCCGCGTTCATAAATGGTAACACAACTCCTAACATCACACGTATTCCGAAAGCATTTGTACTCCTGCCAGCACCTCGGTGCTTCCATCGAATGCCCATTCTGTACCAACACCTTCACCACGGCAGCAGGCTTGACACACCACGTCGAGACTAGGAGCTGCGCGCGTGCCCCCCATCTCGACCGCCGGGAGCTTTATTGGCACATCCATGATCGTGATGTGGACAACGCCATCACCAAGTACGGCGTCCCGCCGCGTTCCAGTGATGATATGCTCTTCGCGACCGAGGAATCCTAGTGTGACGGCGGGTACATGTGCGACCGTTGCGACCGTGTATTTACCAAGCTAGATGGGTTGAACCAACATCTCAATTCCCCAGCCCGTAAGTCAAGATGGCGTATTGAGAGGCCGGCGTTTAATACAGCTAGGGAATTCTTGGTACCGAACGACGGCCAACAATGCATTTAATCACTCGACTATGATCCCAGACCAAAACACTCTGTACTGTTGTCCGGAGTTATCGTGTGGAGCCGAGTTCAAAAGGTTGGCTGCCACCATCAACCACCTCGAAAGTGAGGCATGTGGTGCGATGACGTTTGACAAAGTCCAACGGAAAATTGGCGATATCATCAGTGGCGATAGGCTGCTGCGGTTTTAGAGCGTGGTAACATCCCTTGTTACTTTGTTTTTTTCCCCCTTTTTTGCTGCCATTCGTTGAGGGGAATATGGTGGGGGGGGGGTGCTTTGATGGTTGCTTATTCCTCATCTTTCTTCATCTGTCCTCCCTATATCCCTCAGTTTGGAGTACCCAAATAAATGACGAAAAAAAACAAAAAAAGACCTAAGATGTAATTAGGACCAACCCGCCACCGTCCTCGTCGATGATGGCAAACAAAACTGGAAGGCTTGAGACACTAAGGATGACGTGGGGTAGCATAATCCTGTAATATCCAAAAATAATACAAACACTGGGAAGAACATGGCAGCGCCTGTCTCCGCCCTTCCCCACAACCATAACCTCCCACAGATTAGTTCATCATCATGAGTTCCACGAACGAATCGACCGACCCGAACGCAGCCCTCAGGCCGACATCCATGACCCTCCTGTACCGCCAGAACAGGACGATTCCTCCGGCCAGGATAGGTGCCCCCAACAACCCCACAAACCCACGCACTAGCATTTTACCTTGGTGCTCACTCCGAGCCACGACCTCCGAGTACCGCTCATTGCCAAACGACACACGCGCGTACTTAGTCTGCCAGCCGAGGGATGGGAGATACTTGGACAGGGCCTCCTCGAGAAACTTGCGCAGCCTGTAGACCGGCGACAGCACCGAGGCGCGCATCTCGACGTAATTTTGCAGCGCCAGGTCGTTGATGGCATGGGCGTCGGGCACACGCACCGCGGTGTACTCGGCGAGGGCATGCGCCCGTGAGGCGCTGCGGTCTGCGTCAGGGCTGAGCTCGTCCATGCGTGAGTGTTTATCCAAAATGTCAAACAGGATCCGGACATCTTCCAACCCGGCGTTCATTCCCTGCCCGTAGAAAGGAACCATAGCATGGGCGGCGTCGCCGAGGATAATTGCGGAGGAGCCAAAGTGGTGTGGCTTGCACTTGATGGAGATGAGTGGGAGGTGGGGGTTGCGGCGGAAGGAGGCGATCAGTTCGGAGGGTGGGATCAGCTCGGTCACGCCGGGGAAGTGTTTGTCGAAGAAAGGAGGGATGGAAACGCCTGTTGTGTCGGATTCGAGCTCTTCGTACAAGGAAGCAGGGGCGAATAGGGTACAGGTAAAAGAACCGTCCTGGATAAGTGAGTCTGGAGAAATGGCGGTGGTGGTAACTGGATGTGTCAACTTACATCGCTCGGAATGGCAATAAACATGAATTCCTTGCCGGGCCATATGTGAAGGTGATTTGGTGAAATCAAAAACTTGGACTCCGTAATGTCATCCGAGCTCGGCGTCCTCGGCTGGATCTGGAACTCGCACCACATGGTGTCAATGTACACTTGTTGGTAGTCCATCCTAGTGTACTTCATCATATGGTACCTAACCGCCGAGTGGGCGCCGTCTGCGCCAATCATGAAATCAAAGCGTGCCTCGATTTCCCGAGTCTCTTGCTTCTTGGCTGGGTCATCTCGGACCTCAAACCAAGCCTTGTTGTTCCGGAAATCTGCCCCTGTGAGTTTGTGGTTAAAGAAAAATGTCACGTTTGGCATCTCCTCCAAGATATCCAAGAGGCGCTCATTAAGACGGCCCCGGTCAACCGCGAGGATGGCCTGGAATGAATGTCAGCTTTGACAAGGGGGCCAGTTAGCAAATCACATACCCGACCATGCACATCATACTCCTGGGATTCTTCATAAAGATCCCCATTTGCCCGCCTCCCATGAATCATACGCCCACGCATGGGAATTGTAGCCCCCATGACATGCTCGATCAACTTGGGTTGGCCCGCATGGCGCATGGCATTGATGCCACGCTCCGATAATGCTAAATTGATGGATTTGGTGAAATTGAGGGGTGTCGTTGAGGGATCTCGAAGATCTGTCCATGCCGTTAGTCGGACGAGCTGTAACGCACTTACACCAACACCAACGGATTCACATAGCCAGCCACCAATGATTTTGTACAGTGTCTGTTAAACACTCACCACTTCGGAGCTCGTAAATTTCAACATTGTCCCCACGATTGGCTGCGTATAATGCAGCCAGAGAGCCGACTGGGCCGGCCCCAATTACCACAATTTTTTGTGGTTTTCCCATTGCGAAATGCTTATATGGGTTAAAAAATTGGAAGACGCCGGCGTTGATGAGTTGAAAAATGACGGTTGCTCTTGGCCAAAAGACCCCAAGGAAGGGTCCTGAGACCAACAGCGGACTCACATCGGCTAGGATCGGACGGACCCACTTTTTCCCTTCCCGCTGACCGGAGGAACAGGCTGTTTCAGCCCCACAATCCCCTGCCCTCCAAAAATATTTCGGAGTAGGCCCCGCCAACCTGTGCCTCGACTTATCCACCGATAGTAGTGGTTAGTCGCCTGTTGAGCAACTGACAGTGCTTTGGGGTTGATCATTACGTATATTTCCACTGGATCGCGGCCATTCCCACCTTTCCGGAATCTTGAAACCTTGTTTTCCCCGATTCCTAGATATACGACCTAACCCTGCCTCACCTACCCCGCGATCCATCCACCATGGCCGAAGAACCACCTACGAAGAGGACATGTCTTGGTGTCGATTGCGAGAACGAGGCTTCCGCATTGCAGTGCCCAAAATGTCTTAGTCTTGGCATCAAGGACAGCTATTTCTGCTCGCAGGACTGCTTCAAGAAAAACTGGGTACGCCGACGCCTTGATGACCCCTCGGGTCGGCTGGCTTTGTCCAATCTCTGGCCGCATGCTAATTCTTAGCTTCTAGGGCACGCACAAGAATGTCCATAAGCAAGAGAACAGTATTTTAAGCCACATCTTTACTCCTAAGGTCGTGTCTGAACCAGATCCAGAAACCGGTTACTACAATCCGTTCCCAACCTTCAACTTTACCGGGCCGCTCCGCCCAGTCTACCCGCTGTCGGCGAAGCGCGAGATCCCGAAGTCGATACCGCACCCCGACTACGCCGAAGATGGCATCCCCAAATCCGGTCGATCATTTGTCCGGGCGAACAAGATCCAACAGCTCGACGAGAAGGCTCAGGAGGGTATGCGCAAGGTGTGCCGCCTTGCGAGAGAGGTTCTCGATATCGCCGCCGCAGCGCTTCGACCGGGCATCACGACCGACGAGATCGACGAGATTGTGCACAATGCTTGCATTGAGCGGAATGTAAGCACACTTCAGCTCAGCGCGGGTCCCTGCTATAGCTGACCATCCATCAATAGTCCTACCCATCACCCCTCAACTACAATCACTTCCCCAAATCCGTCTGCACCTCGGTGAACGAAGTCATCTGCCACGGGATACCCGACAAGCGCATCCTGCTCGACGGCGATATTGTCAACCTCGACGTTACACTGTACCATGAAGGGTACCACGGCGACCTCAATGAAACATACTATGTGGGCGACCGGGCCAAGGCTGACCCAGACACGGTCCGTGTCACTGAGGCAGCGCGTGAGTGCTTGGAGGAGGCTATTAAGCTTGTTAAGCCCGGCACACTGTTCCGCGAGTTCGGTAATGTCATCGAGGCGCACGCCAAGACCAAGGGGTGCAGTGTCATCCGCACTTACGTCGGTCACGGCATTAACAGCATCTTCCACTGCCCGCCGAACATTCCGCACTACGCCAAGAACAAAGCTGTTGGCGAGTGCAAGCCGGGCATGACTTTCACTATTGAGCCCATGATTGCGCTGGGAAAATACAGGGATGTAACATGGCCGGATAATTGGACGAGCACCACGATCGACGGGAAGAAGACGGCCCAGTTTGGTACGTGTGAACTTATGAACCCGTTTGTCCGCCATCCGCTAACCGATTCACAGAGCACACCCTTCTGGTGACAGAGACGGGAGTGGAGATTCTCACAGCTCGGCAAGCTGACTCGCCTGGCGGTCCGGTCCCCATGCCAGTCACTCCTGAAACTAATGGGACTAGCTAGGAGGCCAGTTTGTTGAATCCGCAGTTGTTAACTTGTTCATCTTCTCCCTATCTGTAAAGTTTGCGACTATGCGATTATGTGATACTTGGATGTAAAGTTTTGCGACTAGATCTTGATACTTCCTTATCTAGATTTCACCTGCGCAGCCCGCCCTCCAAACTAAAGGCAGTAGGGAAATTGAGCGAGGTACAAATAGACGTATAACTTGAAGATACTGGGTTTCTAGTTAATGTTTAAGTAGCTTGAGCAGCTACAAAGATAGGTAGTAAGCTAAGCTGTGCTGGTGATGATCACTTCTCGCTTCCGCGACCCACTTTTGGGATTCCATTTGTGTCCCCTGCTGACATGCGGGAAGCTTGGACCAGATAGAAAGAACCCAGGCAGATAGCGCCCCACTTGCATCATTTTCGGCACTGCCTGCCAACCACCAACCACCGCCCGGCAACAAGCTTGAGAATCCTCTCCACAGCCTCTCTCCACGTGTGTCGAGCTTCCTGCACCTCCTTTCTCCTTTCCCATTCCCTCATCACCGATCGCAAAATTGTATCCAGCCCCCGGTGCAGCTCCCGCACACCCTAAATTTCGGCCAACCCACACCGACGCAACCCGCTCTTCAAGTACATACCATCTCCGTCCTCGCGACCGGCCCGGTTACAACGCGACACTCTACAATCGTCATCGTTTCGCAAACGACGTACAGCTTAGTCTGAGTTGACGGTGGCACTGCTTTGCCCCGATTTCGAAACAGCCGAGTAAAACTAAGTGCCGAGTTTTCATCCGAACAAACAAACACAATGTCGGGCGAGGCGTGGTTATACCTGTTTGCCGTCATCATAAATGCGGTCAACCTCTTCCTCCAGGTGTTCTTCACCATCATGTACAGCGATCTGGAATGGTGAGAAAATCTCGAATACCCTTTTATTTGAGGTTACTAGATGTAGAATGCGAACGCCCGAATGTCCCGAGCAAACGCTATGACTGCTATACTTGTTGGTGTGTTTGAGGCTGCGAGGCTGACATGTTAATTTTTCACAGTGACTACATCAACCCTATCGATCTCTGCAACCGCCTCAACACCTACATCATCCCCGAAGTCGCTGTCCATGGGTTCCTCACCTTCCTGTTCCTGATCAACGGATACTGGGTCGCGTTGATCATCAACCTGCCACTTCTGGGTTACAATGCGAAGAAGTGCGTAAACCCCGGATGGAGCTCGATAGCAGGTGTGGGATACTGACAGACTTAGGATCGTCGACAATACCCACCTTTTGGACGCCACGGAGATCTTCCGGAAGCTTAATGTGCACAAGAGGGTACGAGCAAACACTATAAGCTAAGAGTCATCAGATGGAGAGCTAATGCGATGGCAGGAATCATTCACCAAACTTGGGTTCCATCTCATCCTCTTCTTTTTCTACCTCTACAGTATGATCGTCGCCCTTATCAGGGACGAGGCTCACTAATAGAGGCGTTTTCACGAGCTGCGATGTGGCACGCTGCTGGTGGATTCCTCATCCTCAGCGTTTGCAACATTGCCGGCTGCGCGATACACGAACCTTACGGCGGCATATATAGACAGGCTCTGGCGGGGGGGTGGAGTGTGGATAATGGCGAACGGGCATGGATACGAGCTACATGTTGAAAGATGACACCACGGCGGGTAATGAATGTTTCAATGAGGTCAGCAAGATAGCAGGGATGGTTTCGACTCCTTTCCGGTCCTAATGGGTAACCCCTAACCGGCTTCGCAAAGATGCGGAGAGAATCGGAGGGGCTCGCTCAGTATGTCGGGGCGGCATGACGGGATGTCCTTTTCTCCTTTCTTTCTGGATTCGGCGTCGACGAGGGCCGGGGTTTTCTGCGGCGTTGGACGTGTTAGTTTCCGGGTCAATAGCTCGCTTTATTGTACACTAAACTACCTACTTTACTATTGTCAAGACAGGGTTGCGTTCTCATGGGTTATTTTTGTTGAACGTACAATCTTGACACCCTTCCCAGCTTATTCGGATGATTGCTTTCCTTCGCCCTTGGGATTTAAAACGAAATTATATCGTCCCGTGAAATGAAACATTGTACGTACGGATACCAAGCGTTGTTGGGGAAAGCTTGTTCGCATGCCATGTGGCTCGTGCATCAGCGCCAAGCCGCAGCTTCCATCAAGGTTGCAGACAAAATAATGTCTAACCAAAGCATCACTCTATTTATCGACTTCGCATCTCAAACCGTTCAACAATCTGTCGCCGCCCCTGGACCTCCATCGCCCCCGTCGCAACCGCAACCCAACCCACAAATCGACTCGATAATTCTAACGCAATCTTTTCCGCCTCGAAAATCTGCACAACCGAGTCGACACCGCTGCGTGCTAACCTCACAATGCCCGACTTCGGCGACTACCCCCCCAACCTCACCGTCAAAGACGCCCTCATCGTGCGCGAAACCCAAACCCCCGACCATGCCGTAGTCCCGTACACCGGCGCCGACCTCTCGCGCACGCGTCTCGGCCCCGCCAACCCCTTCCGCAATGCCTCCTCCACCAACGCCACGCCGACCCAAGCCCTCGGCAAACGCAAGAATGTCTTGACCGGCCACGCCGAAGAAACGTACATCTCGGAACATACCTTTCGCGCTAAGCACCGCGCTGTCGAGCGGGCGGGGCCTTCGGGCGCTGGTGGTGGGCCAGAGAGGGAGGGGATGACGAATCGGGAACAGAAGGAGATACAGAGACGGATACGGGCGGGGAGAGAGGGGAAGGGAAACGCGACGGTGGCGGATGGGGATAATGCGTATGTTGGGCCGTGGGCGCGGTATCAACGGGAACGATATGAGGTGTTGGAGGTGGAGGATGAGGCGGAGTTGGGGAGTGATGAGGAGTATGAGATTGTGGAGGAGGATGGTGAGGATGATGTGGTGCAGAGCGGGACGGTGGTGAGCGCACCGGCTCCGGCGTTGGCTAGGAGGCAGGAGGTGGAGGAGCTGGGGGATGAGACGACGTCGTTTTTGGGGTCGAGCGAACACGATTATCTGGGGCGCACGTATATGCATGTGCCGCAGGATTTGGATTTTTCGTTGACCAAGGAGGTGGGGAGTATTGCGAATTACATCCCGAAGAAGCTGGTGCATACGTGGCGGCCGCATGGGAAGCCGATTACGGCTTTGCAGCTGTTCCCTCGGTCGAGTCATTTGGGTTTGACTGGCGCGGCGGATGGGGTGGTCAAGATATGGGATGTGTACCGCGGGAAGGAGGTGCTACGGAGCTTTGCGGGACACAACAAGGCGGTCACGGATTTGTCGTTCAATAGCGAGGGGACAAGGTTTCTGTCTGGCGGCTTTGACAGGCGCATACGGTTGTGGGATACCGAAACGGGCCAGTGTGTCAACCGCTTCAACTGCGGCAAGACGCCACATGTCATCAAGTTCAACCCAGGTGCCGAGAACGGGCACGAGTTCTTGGCGGGTCTGTCGGACAACCGCATCTTGCAGTACGACAGCCGCGCGGGCAACGAGACGGTACAGGAGTACGATCATCACTTGGGCGCCATCAATACGCTTGAGTTTATCGACGAGAACCGTCGGTTCATGTCCACTTCGGATGACCGGTCGCTCAGGGTGTGGGAATATGGTATTCCAGTCGAGATCAAGACGATCAGGTATGTTGCCCTCCATAGTCTTCCCAAACACAGACACGTTGTGCTAACTGATGTAGCGAACCCGACATGTTCGCACTTACAAAATCGGCACAACATCCCAGCGGGAAATATGTCCTCTACCAATGTAGCGACAACTCCATCGTGGCCTACTCGTCTGGGTCCGACAAGTTCCGGCAAAACCGCAAGAAGGCATGGCGCGGGCACAACACGGCCGGCAGCGCGATCGGCCTCACGTGCAGTCCCGATGGGCAGTTTGTTGTCTCGGGCGACACGACCGGCGGCGTCTGCTTTTGGGACTTTAAGACATGCAAGATGTACAGCAAGATTGCGGTTGACAGCGCCGGCGGGTCTGTCAACTGTGTCGCGTGGTCGGAGCAGGAAACTAGCAAGGTGTTCACAGCGGGCGCGAAGGGGGAGATTAAGCTGTGGGATTAAGGGGCTGGTATGGTTAGGGTGTGTCGTCTGGGTCGGCTTGCTCACATATAGCGCCTGAGCGACTGGTAGATATGCCCGGGCTGATTAATACATAGTACATTTGTACTAACGTTGAGAAGTGCTCCATCACCCGTTGACGTATAATCCGTCGACTCATCCATCCGACTGTTCTACTCCTCCAAACCCTTCACCTCTCCGTTTCCCCGATTCGAAACACATATTTCACTGCGCTCGCCTTCCCATCCTTCAGCTTCTCCAATGCGCCCTGAATCCCAGCTAACCCCCCAGGCACCACCTCAAATCGCTGCGGTTTAAACCAACCCTCGCGCAACCCTCTCGCAAAGTATCGAAAATACACAAACCCAAAGTCCTTAGCCGCCTTATGCACTTGCCCCACCGACGTGTTACTCCTCTCCACCCCTTCCGGCAACTTCTCGTCCGCCCCGCTCAACACCAGCGTGACCTTCCCTTTTCCTTTGCTACCCTCCACACTACCACCCCCAACCCGCTCAAGCACCCTCCCAATATTTTTAATCGTCCCGCCCTCCGACACAGCATCCAGCACCAACACCGGCACCACATCCCCCCCCCCATCCCCACGATACTTCTCCAACTCCCTCACCAACCCCTCCACAACCTTCTCATCCCCCTGTCGATAATCAACAACCACATCCCCCCGGCTACTGTCCAAGAACCCGGCTACATAATCGCTCGCGCGACCAGCGACGCAGAGCAAGGGGTGGATGCCGCTGCGCAGGGCGAGTTGCGTGGCGTAGATCCCGACGGCGGAGGAGGCGCCGTAGATGATTAGGGGTGTGGGCGTGGTGGACGTGGGGGGTTGTTGTTCGGCGGTGGCGGACCAAGGGGAGGGGAGGGATAGGCGGAGGTAGAGGGCTACTGCTGCTGTCATGGCTGCTAGGGGGATGGTGGCGGCTTCTGTTACTCGCCGGGATAGTCAGCCAGCGGTATAATTTTCGAGGAGTTGCCTCGTGGTTGGGGGGGTGGAACAGAAAGGGCAGGGAAAGACAGAAGGATAACAAACCCTCAAAAGTCGTTTCATTAGGGATATGAAACGTCATATGCTGCCACGCAATCGCATACTCGGCATAGCTCCCATGCGGCGTGAGCATCTCATGAAAGGCCCCCACGCGATCACCGGGACGGAACTCGTAGACATTGGCGCCGACTTTCTCGACTATGCCGGCGATGTCATCGCCTTGGTTGGTTGCGCCGCCTAGGTGCCCATACCAAGTTGCGTTAAGCATGCCACAACCCCAAGCTCTGATCCCTCGATTATCAATGTTATTCTCCCGCGGCCCCCAACATCCCCAGCCGTGATTCCCGTCAATTATTAACCATTCCATCCCGTCCACAGATGACGCCATCGCCCGCCCAAGTTCCTGGCCGTCCCATCCCCCACTTCCCCAACGACCTCCCTTTCTGCCACATTTAAACGAACAGCTTGTTGCCAAACAGGGTAACTAAGCCCACCAACCGGAATCTTTCAGCCGAGCAGCGTATCATCGGAAATCCATTCGCCCATCTGCGGTGACTTTGAAGCGTGCGGTATGTTGCCGCTGTTGGACTCCCTCTGTCGCATCCTCCTCTCGGTTTCGGATACGCTTCCGAATGTGGTCTTGGGAGGTCGAATGAGGCTATATTTTGCGCTCGCTCCGTGGGGTCCGGGATAGTAACTTGGGCAGATTGGAAATCGAGAACAGTCAGCAGTTTGCTCGGGTGTCAGACCCTGGAAGTAACCTTGTTCGTTCAGGAGGTTAAACGTCCTCATTCGGAATGAATGTGCAGTCACAATGCCGGGGACATATCATAAAGTCGGAGTTATTAGCAATCAAGGCGAACGTTGACACTTATTCAGGGACAATGGATTGCAAAACTCAAAAACATCAAAAGAAGTATCCAGAAAGTATCCGAGAAGCAGTAAATTTTAACTCATGTTTGTGTCCCCATTTCAGAGGAGCAACCGAATCTGCTTCTTACCCCAATAACTCCAACGCCAAACCATACACCCACTCATACACTCACTCATTCACAACAAACAAATGCACACCCGCCCCTTATCCACTCCCACCACCCAAGACACATCTCGATAGCTAGACAGCTATACCTAAGCAGCAACAAGCGCATTCCAAGCATCCGCCGTAGTCTGATCACGCGTACCCAACGCCTGGATCTGCGCCTGCGCATCAGTGCACACATCCTTAGCCGCCTGGTTGGCATTGCAGATGTTGGTCAGCTCGTCACAGATGCGGTTGGTGATGATGTTGGGGTTGAGCGCCTCCTGCTGGTTGGCGGCGATGGCGGCGTCGTTGGACTGGAAGGTGAATTCCGTTGCCGGACGCCCGCCGAGACCGCCGGTGAATTGGATTGTGGGGTCGCATGTGCCAAAGTCGACGCCCGCGGCGGCGTTGCCGGCGTTGCCGTTGTTGCCGGCGTTGCCGTTGTTGCCGGCGTTGCCGTTGTTGCCGGCGTTGTTGTCGTTGTTGCCGTTAGCATTGCCGTTACCGTTGTTGTTGTTGTTGTTGTTGCCATTGTTGCCGTTGTCTTTGCCTTTACCTTTGCCTTTACCCTTTCCGTTACCCTTACCGTTGCCATTGCCGTTGTTACCAGCTGCGGCAGTTGTAGTAGGGGCTACGACAACGACAGTAGTCAAAGTCTGAACCCCCGCTCCGCAGCCAACAGTCACATTGCCAGCACCAGCACCGACAGTTGCATTCCCAGCACCAGCACCCGCACCCGCATCAGCACCAACACCAGCAGCACCACCGGCAGCAGCACCACCATTGGCGGCACCACCGCCGGCAGCACCACCAGCAGGCGGGGCCGCAGTGGTCCCATCAGACCCCTGGGCGGTAAAGTTGCTGAAGCCGTTAGCGGCAGCGACATCAGCCTGGCTCAGTCCATCCGCGACAAAAGGATTTGTCAGAGACGAAGCCGAGTTCGCATTCTCAGTATCTGAGCCGACAACAGCAGGATCAACCAACGGGACAATCCCGCGGAGCTCAGGGGTAGCCGGGAGGTTAGCATCGGAGCAGATGGTGGGGATGGCGGCCGCAAAGGGGTTGAAGTTCTTCTCGGCGGCGACGAGGGCCGCTGCGGCGGCGATGACGGCGGGGTCGTTGCCGAGGGTTGAGACGATTTGGTCGGCCAGTTCGAGCTAACGCAAGGGAGGATAATTAGTATCGGTTCACGCCAACATGAGGAGAGCAGCTGGACGTACCTTATCGCAAGCATTGGCGCCGCCGAGGAGGACACCGGGGCTGGCACCGGCAAGCGTGGCGGCCTGGCCGGGGTTGCCGAAGCCACTCAGGGCCGAGATGAGGCCTTGGACGGTTCCCTCCTGGCCGAAGCGGGCCTCGGACAAGGCCACCAGGGCCGAGAGGATGGTGAATTTGGCATACATGTTGGGAAAGATTCAACAGGTTGAACGTCGAGAAACAAAAACCGACCGGGCGGTAAGAGAAAGCGAAATAGGAATAAAGAACGTAGAAACGAAGTGAAAGTTCACAGAACTAGGCACACAGAAAAGAATGGAAGGCGAACAACTTGTTGGCCAAAAGCTTCAGGACCAGGTGTCACAGAAGACACGCCCGAGATTATATACAACAAAGGTTCTCCCGGGGCAATCATGTCTGCGGATCATGATGAGCGTAACGCCCGATGGCACAACCCAGGAACTTGGCTCTCGTCAAGCAGTCCCTAATGGCGATCATACCGGCGGTTAGGTCAAACAGCAAGTGGGCACCCCAAAGGCAGAGGCGAAGGGCAGTCCCGCAGTGCGGATTAGAAACACCAAGCCGTGTTCAATCCCATGAGGGGGCATCCCTCATGCCGCAGAAAGCCGGGATTGGTTTGGCGTCGCCAGGACTTCGGGCCCTGCCGAGAACCTCCTTGTTTTTCTTCTTCGCCCCTGCCTGATTTACTCCCCCGGATCGGAGGTCCGTCCGATGTTGACAGAAACAGGAGATGGGGAAAGGAGTGATCCGAGGCGAGGATTGTCTCTGTAAACCTGGCAAGGCTTTCGAAGCTTGACCGCGGTTGTTGCCGAGGGCCGGTGGATTAAGATGAACCGCTGGGAAGCGCTGCTAAACAGACTTTGTGCCTTGCAACAAACGGCTTCGTTCTTCTCAAATCGAGCTACGCACTCATCGCTAGTGTCTGACATGATACCGAGGCGTCCCCTCGACGCCCGACTGCTTCGGGGACAAATGTTCCCGGGCGCGTCGGGGTGTAACCCCGCAACAACAACGTTGTTGTCTGGAGAACAAGGAAAGGAGTATGCCAGTGAGGTTTCAAGGGGCCGCCAGATGCGAACTAACAACTTCTGGTATGGTGGTTCGCGTAGGTTGGTAAAGCCGAAGCGTCAAGCCAAACAGCTAACAAAAAAAGGGGTGTTAGCTTGGCCTCCCGCGACGACCCGTTTCTGGGGTCCGCCCGAGCTTAAAGCAGGGGTGAATAACTTTCGTCTCATCATCCCGGATCCAAGGCTAGTCGGGTGGTTCGGCCTGTCATCATTGATCTTCGAAACGAGTTCGTCTGAGCTTGGAGACAGGGCACTGGAGCGCGCGGTGCCGATTTCCACAACGGGAAACCATTCATCCCGCAAGTTGATGTTCGTGGGAAGCTACCCTCTTTAATTCCTGGTTGTGTGCTGGATGAGGAACCGCAAGGAAGCGATGTGGCCCGTGCATTCGCAACTTTCTTCCACATTCGACATACGAGGTCGACAAGGCTGTTCCCAGAAAAGACATCTCGAATTTGTCAACCAGAGCGTTAAGTATACTTCCGTTCATACCAAATCAATAAAAATATCATGAGCTTATCGCCATGTCAAAATGCTGTCACAAGCATTCAGACGGCAAGCGCGTCTCAACCTCGTGTCGCAGATCCTTGCCCCTGCAGCCACTCGGAGCGCCACGCTTGAGCGGCTCAATGAGATCAAACCAAGCGCCTAGGGTTGTGAGACAAATTCGAGACGGTGTCGAGAAAAAGAGTCTTGGCGTTAACGACAACTTTTGAAGGAATTCAGCGATTTGATGATTTGATGTCCTACACTTCCTCTGTCTTATACGTACTGGATTACCGTCCCTCTCAGCTGCAGCTTTGGCACATCATAAACACCCATCATAAAAATATCTTCTCAACACAGCGAGGTTTGTTGATATAACCCGGTTCAAAATCATTGATGGGTTGGACAACTATTTTGCCTGGTAGTGGAAGATGTCGATGTCTTGTGAGACATTACTCTGTGATCAAACACCAATAATCACTCAATACTGGTCCGGCGTATGAGCGAGAAACCCCGCTAAAATCCAGACCTCTGCGTGGTGCTGCGTGATTAAATCCCAAACCTCCGGCTCTGTCAATATTTACATCTCATTCTTCTGATGTGATGAAGTGTAGGTTAAAGATCGAATCACATGAGCAAACGTCCGGCACAGCAACCGCAATATCCACCCTCTGTCCCAGAACTAGCATCGACCTTCATTTGTTTGTTGCTGGATGAGGCGACTACATACGAAGTACTATGTAGGTATGGAGTATTAATAGTGGCTCCGTACCAGCATGTTTCGTTCCTCCGCTCAAATCGAAGCGGGGCTCGTTGCTGTTAAAAATGTACCCGACGGTCGGTCCTAACAAAACTTGCCCCGGCGATTCCTTGTACCTGCTCGCCGAAGCGAGATACTGACATGTTTCCCTGTGATCCTTGGCGTTGTTTTCCCTGGAAAGATGCTCATTCGATTCAAGGTTGACCGAGATCATGTGGAAATGCGGAGCCCCGGACGGCCTCGGCTAACATCCCTGACGGGCGATCGGAACGACACGGGCTTCCACACAATGAAAACATGGAAAAGCGAAAATTGGTCCTGGTCTGCGCGATAAAATGCTGAACAAGGCATATACAAGAGGTTCTGAGGGAAGAAGGTAATCCAACGAAGTCCGGTCCGAAAACGCCACCCATGATACCACGGAAACGGGATCCAGTCAACGGCCCGGGACAACCCCGTGACCGGGTCGAACGACACAGTCTGCAATCTATCTCGTCTCGTCCGGGGTTGTCCCTATTCCAAATCGAAGGGCCGTGACACGCCCAGCTAAAATTCATACGCTCTGCCCCGTTTCTACCGAGTGCGAGTGAACCACCCGCTGGACCCGGCAATAGCCACCGACTGGTCCATCACCCACTCCCCAACGCCCAAGTACTTGTCCACCCACTTCGACATCTCCTTGTTTTCGCCAGCCATTTTCTCTGTCTTGAAACTGGGCCTTGATGGATCCCCAAAGGAGGGGGCAAACGATCAGCTTCATCGCTCGAGGTTGTTGTCTCATATAGGCCGTCGACTTATCGGCTTCGAAATCGGGACGGATATACTCACGTGAGACCGGTCGAGCGCTTCATTCCTGCGAGGAATGCGGAAACTGTACAGAGAAGTCGTTAGTTTCGCAGCCCTTAACCCGAGTCACATGCTTGAAATTCTGCAGAGCACTTACAGAGGACAGCATCAAAGGCATAATGGGTCAACCTTCCGAGCTTTGACCACAACCCCAAAGTCAGCAAGTCGAGGAGCTAGAGACAAATCTTAGACTCCGAAACGACAGCAGGGCTCCAAGCACGCCCGCGACGAACGAGCACGACCGAGAGGGAAAACACCCACCACCATGTTCGCGGATTTTCGATACGGTTTTCGGGACGAGAGATATCGAGCGATAACGGACGGTCCGAGAGTCGGTATATTGAACTTATAAACCCGAAAGTTACGGCAACCAGTGCGCGACGTGTGACGGAGTGCGTGGTGGCGGCGGTGATGCTTGTTGGTTGCAATCGGGAGACAATGCGGCTCTGGTGGGGAAACCAGCCCGCTGCAACGCGGCAAGCAAGCACAGGACCAAGAGGGGCTGGAGCAAATCCTTGGCGGCACGTGAGGGATCACGGGACCACAAGATCGGACACCCCGAGTCCGTTGAACAACGATTGGCTGTCATCCCCCGAGATCCTTATCGACCCACATGCTAGCGGCTTGAGCCGCAATTGGCTCACATCAACGACTTGGCTCGCCGCTCATCGCCAATACGTCTTACAATGTTTGCGGTACTTTTGAAACCGTTGAGTGGCCGGTTGACGCATTCGTTCGCCAGGTTGAGCATCCATGCGGTGTTGAGATGGCATGGGGGCATGGCTGAAAGATAAGCGCGGGCACCAAAGGCGAACCAAAAAAAGCAATGCGGTACCTGTGCTGAGCAGCTTAGGCCCGCCCGGCCAGATGTACCTGTCAGCCCCGCATTACCTTGCATTTCGTCCTTAGTGGATGTACCGCAACCCCACGCACCCCGCCGAGATGTTGAGAAAGCTTTTGGGAGCTCCCTCTAAAAAAGCGTGGGAGGATTGGCCTTGTCGAGAACTTTTTTCCCGCAGAGAATCCAGGACTTGATTCTCCATCTTCCTCCACACATTTCGGAACTTGCGGGCTTGCGGCGCTATTTTGAGGTGAGTCCCTGTCTCGTTTGCACTTTCACCGTGTTTTGGGAATCTCTCGTCCGTTTGTATAGCGGGGCGTTGGGTCGGGTGTTTCAGTTTTGCATGCCCGCCGCTGCCGGCGGACGAACAGCAGAATGCGCGTTCGCTCTGCTGCTGGGATGAGTTGAAGGAGGCTGCGTGGGATGTCCGGTGGTAACGCTTGTGTTCCCCGATATATCCCTCTTTCCCGAAAACATCTCTCCGGGACACATTGAGTCCCTCAAGCAAGCAGCGCAACCCCCTCCGTAGTCGGAGATTTCTAACGGATCGCCTCAGAAATAAAATCTCAGTAACCCCCCTCCGACCCCAAACCTCGCGCCGCACCTCGGTTTACTCCACCAACTTCCCGCATTCTTTTCCCCGAACTGCACAATGGCGACCGCTTTGGACCATCTCCAGCTCGGCGGCAAGATCGAATGGTTGTCGCAGCTCGACACGGCGTACCAGCCGGAGCGCAACCTGCGCCGAACATCCATCATTTGCACCATTGGTCCCAAGACCAACTCGGTTGAGGCTATCAACAAGCTGCGTGAGGCTGGTCTCAACGTGGTGCGCATGAACTTCTCCCACGGCAGCTACGAGTACCACCGTATGTCTCCCCCAGCACGACACGGACCGCGGTGCCGACGCGATTCGGGGCGACCTCAAACTTGAGGTACATCCGCTATCGTTGTTCGCCCGCGGCCGTATCCACCTATGATCCTCAGGTTGAACGAGCCCCCTTCTAACCTCAATTCTTTTTTACAGAGAGCGTCATCGACAATGCCCGTGAGGCCGAGCGGGTCCAAAAGGGGCGCCAAATCGCCATCGCGCTGGACACCAAGGGACCGGAGATCCGTACTGGTAACACCACGGGCGATGCCGATCTCCCCATCTCGGCCGGCGCCATCATCAACATCACCACCGATGAGAAATATGCCACCGCTTGCAGCACCGAGAACATGTCCGTTTACCACTCTTCCCCTTTCGCGATAATTGGAGCTAACTAGTGTCAGGTATGTCGACTACAAGAACATCACCAAGGTGATTGAACCTGGCCGTATCATCTACGTCGACGACGGTGTATTGGCGTTTGATGTTCTCGAAATCGTGGACGCGCAGAACATCAAGGCGCGGGCGCGGAACAACGGGTTTATCTCGTCCCGCAAGGGCGTCAACCTTCCCAACACAGATGTCGACCTCCCGGCTCTCTCCGAGAAGGACAAGAATGACCTTCGGTTTGGTGTGAAGAACAACGTCGACATGATCTTTGCTTGTGAGTTAGCTCCATCTCAGCCCAGCCATACGTGGAACCATTCTGCTAACCAGTCTGGTAGCTTTCATCCGCAGGGGTCAGGACATCAAGGATATCCGCGAGATTCTTGGAGAGCAGGGCCGCCACATCCAGATCATCGCTAAGATTGAGAACCGCCAGGGTCTGAACAACTTCCCCGAGATTCTCGCCGAGACTGACGGTGTGATGGTTGCCCGTGGTGACCTGGGTATTGAGATTCCCGCCGCTGAGGTGTTCGCGGCCCAGAAGAAGATCATTGCCATGTGCAACATTGCCGGCAAGCCCGTCATCTGCGCCACCCAGATGCTCGAGTCCATGATCAAGAACCCCAGGCCGACCAGGGCTGAGATCAGCGACGTTGGTAACGCCGTTACCGATGGTGCTGACTGTGTCATGGTACGTTTTAACCTAAGAGAAAGGTCGTTTGCGGCAGACCGAAACGCTAACATGCTTAATACCAGCTTTCCGGCGAGACGGCTAAGGGTAGCTACCCCAACGAAGCCGTCCGTGAGATGAGCGAGGCCTGCCTTAAGGCTGAGAACTCGATCCCGTACGTGAGCCATTTCGAGGAGCTTACCACCCTCGCGAGGCGGCCGGTCCCTATTGTGGAGTCGTGCGCCATGGCTTCCGTTCGTGCCTCTCTGGATCTCAACGCTTCGGCTATCTTTGTGCTCTCCACCTCGGGCGAGTCGGCCCGCCTGATCTCCAAGTATCGCCCCGTGTGCCCGATCATCATGATCACTCGCAACCCGTCTTCCTCTCGCTACGGCCACCTCTACCGTGGTGTCTACCCCTTCCTTTTCCCCGAGGCCAAGCCCGACTTCACCAAGGTCAACTGGCAGGAGGATGTCGACCGCCGCATCAAGTGGGGTCTTAGCCACGCCATTGACCTCGGTATTTTGACCGAGGGTGAGACCGTTGTCGTCGTCCAAGGCTGGAAGGTAAGATATCCGAGGCTCCCCAACGAATCGCACGGTTTTTATCGTAACTGAAACTGACGCATAATTGCTATAGGGCGGCATGGGCAACACCAACACTCTGCGGATTGTCAAGGCTGACGTCGAGCACCTCGGCATCGGCCAGCTGGAGTAAGAATTGGGCTGGTTTCGGTGCGGGCTATCGGGCTTACGGGACAATAGCCCTTGCTATCCACGCAGGGAGCGGGAAGCGCCTAGATAACGGCCTTATGCAGTGGATCATTTGACTGATTTAATGGCGTTTTGTTTGCTCCCCTGCACTACGCTGTGCTTAACGCCTGTCTGCCTGCTATCTTTGCTTAGATGCGATTCAGAAGATTTGTCGGATGATTGGCAATGTTGAGAAACTCCTTCAAGGAGCGCGACGTAGCACGGAGTCTTGTGAGATGCTGTGAGCTGAGGGTTAAACAAAATGTACCACAGCTAAATACCGAGGTAGCACTTCTCGAGATACGCACTGATGCTAGATGCGTTCCGTGCGCAAGGCAGTTGTGCTCTGTATCTATGTAAAGCCCTTCCTAGCTAATTCAAAGGATTCCTTTTCTGTCGTGATGAATACTCAGGATTAAGCCTTATCATCGGCGAGACGGCGCAAGAAGCATAGGGTCGGGCACTGCTGGACTTTGGTCATCGTGATATGTTGGATCGCTGCTCTCCCTGAGAAAAGCAGTTACTCGGTTCAAAGTGATATGACGGGGAGGATGTCAACCGAGGCTCTTATATTGCCTTCCACCATCAAATAAGCTGATGTCCGGCGATGCGCGTTGGATGGCCTGATTATGGCGCCGTTTTCGCGTAAATGAACCTTCTCATTGGTGAAAGCGAGAACGAGTACTATACCGATTAAAGAAGAACACTGGCCGAGGTGTTATCTTGCAACATTTTGCTAAGAACTAATTGTATATGATTGGAACTGAAAATGCTGGCTTGGCTGTTGCCGTCTCGCTTTCGCCCCAAACCTGTTATGGAAATGAAACTGCGCTCTTATTATGGCGGATCTTGTGCGTTAATATGCTTCGGTAGTTTTGGAAATTCGGGAATTCCAAACTTTGTCTTCGTAAAGAGCCCCTTGTTGCTGCTTCCGTGCTTTGAGTTGAGGGAACCCCAGTCTTCGTGTAACGCCCCCCTTCGTTACCTACTGATGCATGGCAACGGTGTTGCGGTGGAGACGATAGTATGCCTGCTCAGTATAATTTGGCATATTGAGGGTCTAGGTGTAACCGTCTATATACTCGCGACTGAGCTGCTCCATACAATCATCCACATGATCTGGCTTGCGAAGCTTCTCGACCTGGAGAAATGGAGTGTTGGTTTTTGGGCCACGGTTCATCTATGAGGAGGTGCGGCACACGACCACCGATTTACTAGCTTATAATGATCAGGCAACCGAGTGTGATCCATGGCCGAGGAGATCACAGCGAGGCGATACACGAAAGGCTGCCTCAGAAGAACACCGTGGCCGAACCATGCCCATCAAACATGTTCTTGGGACCCTTACTCTTCGGAATCAGGGTTCTACATACACTGTAACTTGCTGGCCTGAGTCGCGCAACGAAATCTAGTAAGAGGTTGTAAAAAGACTTTGTGGACATGAACTTAAATAACAATTTCTGTTTCGAAAACATGGTATTTTATTATTATTGTTTAAATATACTTTTTGAGCGCCCAATCCGTACCATGAAATGGGTTTCCTCTTTAAGTCGGCCTTGGTAGACACCATCACATCCTTCACAGGAGTCGGTATATTACCCTGGCAGCCTGGACTGACTGGGCACATCGATTCGTAAATATGTTGCAGCTTCAAGGTCCCATGTCGCGGTCACTTTTCGGGGTTTCGGTAATGTGGGGCGAGAAGCTGCATTTTGACCAATAATATCTCTGCGATTAGCGACCGTTATCTTCCAGCTGCCCACATGCCAGCGGCATGTGTTGTGAATAGGGCTGACAGTGACCTCAGCTTCCAGGGTGTCCTTGGCTCCATCTTGAGTACAACTCTGGACCTGAACACTTCTTTCGCGTGGTGCACCTCAATTTCAGCTTCTCACCCAGCTCCACGCGTTCCTACCTTCGCTGTAAAGCTCCCACTTGACTCTGGAAACGGTCGCAGTTCGGATCCGCTGGCTGCCCTGAAAGCCCCTTGGCTTGACAACCACCAAGAGTGTCTCGACTGCTGGACGGTTCTGTGTCGCCGTCGCAGTCATGTCTAAATCATCTTACCTACCACGATTAGGGTTCTCTCGTGGAGACGACCACATCCTTCCGCTACACCATCGAACGAGTCCCCCGATCCGAAAGAAGCCGAGCGAATATGCCCTAACCGACCTTTCACCGCAGCCCGACGAGTCTACTGCTCCCTCGGCTAGAAACAGTCACAAGCGTAGCCCTTCGCCATCCGCAAGATACCGAGCTGGACCGGGCAGCGACCTAGGGCAACACAAGCCAAAAACACAACGGGTCCTCTTCGCAGGTCCACCCCCACCAATTGCCAGTTCACAGATGCTATACCGCGACGAGGAGGAGAGGGTCACGTACCCCGCGGCATCGAGCCACAACGGGGCATCTTCCCTGGCCCAAAACATTGGCAGCGTTCTTTTTGATCGCAATCCAACCTCACCCAACCGCCGCCGGTCCAGAGACCATGACCCGGAACAACAGGCGATCTGGCTCAACTTACAACGTCGCGAACAAGCCCTCCAAAAAGACCTACAGCGCCTCCTCGACGCCCAGTCCGTTGGGCTGGCTGCAAACCTCGACCCAACCATCGAACAAACCCCCTCTGAAACGAGCGACGTCACAACGCGAAGCGCCACTCCAACGAGCACTAGCACATTCCGCACCGATCGCTCCCGACGACATGTTGCATTTGCGACTAGCACCACTTCCTCGGGCACGATCGTACCGGTCCGCCAACCGCGATCTAAGCCACTCTCGCTCCGTGCCGCCCGCGCCAGCCTTGCACGCAGCATCACCCTCCTCGCAGACTTAAAATCCGAAGAAGACAGCCAGTTGTCCGTTGCGCTAGCAGCCCGCCAACAAGCCCTCACACAACTCGAACGGTGGGCGGCCCGGCGAGATAATCTTTCGGAAGGTCTTCGCCAAGCCGAAACTGGCGACGCCGATGAGCCACTCAACAAGGAGCTTCGCGAGCTGGAGGCGGAGCAGGGCATGGTATCGGGGGAGATTGCAGATCTAGAGACGCGGTTGGCAGAGTTGAAGCGGAAAAAGAGATGGTTGGATGGGCGGATTCGGGAAGTCAGCAGCGAGAAGGAGGCTGGGTTGAGCGGCTATCGCGGGGCCCTGCGTGAGGTAGAGGGCAAGCTGGGTGGATTGCTGGAGAAGCCCGGGGTGAAGCCTTTAGATGCGGAGTTCTTTGCACATGTTGGGAGCGAATCCCCTGGCGGTGTGGAGTTTATCAAGTTACGACCAGAGCGGCGGACGGTGGAGATGGCGAGGGACTGGTGGGAAGGGGAATCGCGTCTTCTAGAGAAGAGGAGGCAGGAAGTAGAAAAGGAGAGAGCAGCGCTGGAGGAAGGCGTAGCAGTGTGGAAGGACGCCGTGGCGCTTGTGTCGGGCTTCGAAACGGACCTGCGAAAGGAGATAGATGGTGACGCCGATGAAACGGCTTCCAAAGGGAAGGGACGGGAAGGCGAGACGGTGTCCGAGGCAGATCTCACACACACGATGCGTGCTCAACTCGACAAGATGCGAGCGGTTATGGACGGTCTCGGAGAACGACTACACGTTGCCGAAGAGCACGGATGGAATCTCCTGATATGCGCGATCGGCGCTGAACTGGAAGCCTTCCGGCAAGCTAAGGACATGCTCCGAGACGCGTTACGCGGCTCAGGCGTAGACGTCGAAAGCGATGATGATGAAGACCATCGTCGCGGCGACTCGACGCCACACGCCGATCGATCTGCCATATTGCGAGACTCGAGTCACCTACGCATGGACAAGGCCGAACCCAGTGGTGGTGGTCGGTTAGTCGACGTTCATGATGAGCGGGCGCCGGAGAGGCCGGCCTCAGAGAGCGACAACGAAGTACCCCCTGACTTGCTTGTTGCACCGGAGGAGGAGCGGGAGTTGTCGAGTCCGGCTCTGAGCAGGGAGAGCAGTAATGACGTGCCGTCGGAGTTTCTGAGAGAGCATAGCCCGCAGAGGGGGTATGGTGGGTTTGGGGTGCCGTAAGACATGGGTGTAATGAGGTTATGAGGTCGATATCGACCACACAACGGACGCGATGAGTTTTATGACGAATTATGCAGCCAGGTTTCTAGCGTTTTTATACCCCATATTAAAATAATAATACAGTCTTGACTTGTGTTACCATCTCCCAGTGCTATTTGCATTCGAGGCACTAGCATAAGTAAACAATGCGGACCCATATAACTGGCTGTCCTGTTCACCCAAAACTTCCTCCTTTGAGGTTGGTTATACGTGAAAATCATATCAGGCACACTTCTCACCCTCCACAGCATTCACCCCTTCGTCAACAGCCTTCTTCACCGCACTCTCAACCTCTTCCTCTCCATCCAACAAATCCAACCAAGTATTCTTGACCCCCTCACTCGCTAACAACACATCCGCTACCCGCGCCACCGCCTCCCGGCTTATCTTACCCTTGGACGACGCCGTCCGGCCCAACTCCACCTTGCCCGCCGGCTCATCCGACAACGACCCCGGACGCAAAGAGATCCCTACAAACGAGGGCCCCGATGTTTTGGATACACTGTATAGAAGCTCGTCAACGGCGAGCTTGGCGGCGTAGTAGACCGGAAAGACCTCGTGGTTGATATTGTCGGTCCCTTTCCAGTCGTAGTCGGACCACCAAGCGGGTTTGGTGTAGCGCGAGCCCAGATGGGAGACGTGTAAGAAACGGGTGATTTTCGGGGCTTCTGCGGCCGCGAGGACGAAGTTGCTGGCGGCTATTTTGTCGATGGCGTTGGTCTAGGGGAAACGGGGATTATTGTTGGTTACTGGATTAGTTCACGAGGGGGAGGAGGGGGACCCCGGGGGAGGGGAGGGGGGTAGGTTACGTTTTGGGCTCCGCCTTTCCCACCGGCACCTGTTTGGGTTGGTCAATATCGTCTTCTATAGAATAACAACCACCAAAAACGGAGACTCACCAGCACTCCAAACAACATAATCGACGTCTCTTTCCTTCCCAGCACGTTCAATCACCTCCCTTGCGTCCTCTTGAGTCTTGACTTCTGCTAGACTATGCACGAGCACCTGTAGCTTCCCAACTACACCCTCATCCTCAGGCTGAACACGTTCAAGAACCTCTCTAACGGTAGAGGACTGGTCATCCGTGCGAATAACGCTGGTCACGTCCCAGCCGCGACGGAGGAGCAGTGGGGTTAGGAGTTGGGCGATTTTGCCGTGGCCGCCCAGGAGAAGTACGTGCTTGAGCGAGGCGGAACTCATGGTGAAGGTATTGTAGATGTCAGTGGGCCTGAGCAGCTAAAGTCTTTGGAAGGGATGTGGTTGGAACTGCAGAGAGGGCCGTTAGTGTTGGGTAAATAAAAGAAGCTGACGGTCAAAGTTTGGAGTCTGCGAAGAGCTATGAGAGGGACCACAACTTAGAAGCGAGGGACCAGACATGCAACTAAGTATCTTATGAGCATGTTGTGGAACAGATGAGGTGCGATGGAGGGTTGGTCATTGGGCAGGTTTGATGTCATCATGCCCTGTCCAACGATCGATCGCCAAAAACGGGAATGGCGGGGTTACGCTGATCGTTGATCGGCCCAGCTGGCATCGGGCGTTTCCCTTGGCGTCGGTGATTCCGCCTGACGGCTAGGAGGGCTCAGGGGGGTTAACCCTTTTAGGTTCGGAATTCACGGCGCAGCAGAGAGCAATTCAGTGCAATGTTGTTCACTCACTAACTAACATAGCTGCCCTTGCACCATGGCGTCCTAACAAGGACGCCATGGGGGGCAGGGAAGGCAACGAGGAGACTGGCGGACTCGCCCATTTCAAACTTAGTTGCTGCCCGCTCTGGTGGCCTCGCTGGAGAATCAGCGATTCCAATAAGAGCGTGCCTTTTAGATTCCCTCTCACTCCTCGCTTCCTCCCTTCGCCCATTCACTTGCCGCCAACTCCGCCGTGTTGGGCTCACTCGCGTGTCGGGCTCACTCGCTGCGTCGGGTTTCCTCAATGCGTCAGTCTTTGCATTCGGCATCGGTCCGCCGGCATGTCTCACGAGTACCAGTGCCGTGATGCCCCTCATGGCCATTTTCGGGTCTCACCCCCGGAGCTAGAGGAGCTGAATGGTATTTCCGGGGCGCTCGGCTCAACTTGACTGCTCCTCAGAGCCCCCGATTACATCACGATGCTTTAAACTGTGGGTTGACTAGAGGTAGGGTGAAGTCGAGCCTGGTGAGAAACTGCACAAGAAGCCAAGCAATTGATCTCCCAAAGTGTTGGGAACCCCCACCTTCCTGATTGGGCATTTGACCTCCTTCTAAGTCACAAGGATGCCCTTCGCAGTGATGCGGCGGCCGACCTACATATGTAGTAAACACGCGTTTGACGCTTGGAGATCTTATCATCTGGTTGCTCTATTCCTCGTACGCTCTCACAACGCAACCAAATGTCGGTCAGTTTGGTCGGTCAGTCCGATCCTGCTGGGAGAAACTCGTTAAGAATCGCATGTGTGCGCACACACGCACCTGAGTTTTTCCCTGACATTTCGTGACCGACCTAGCCACCACCCACAACAAAACAAAGTCCCGACCAACCGTACAAAGTACACCCTACCAAACCTACTCCCATAAAACTAGGTGTAATGTTTCATTTCTTGCCTAGTTCCTGAAACCACATTTCTGTATTCGATAAACATGGAGCAAGGGAATGAAGAACAAATAACAGAAATGCTGCTGTATAAAAATTGAAAACGATAAAAGGTTCAAAAAAAGTGAAACGAACAGGACTCAAAAAAGAGAGCTGTGGTCAGCCGCGCTGCCCAGGGGACCCATTTCACCCTGGGGGGTGACCGACAAGGTACACAGCGAGACAGCTTAACCACTACGCTACCAGCAGGTGCGATCATCGTGATTTCTTCGATGTTGGAAACTGTGCTTGTGCAGCTTCCTTATATACCCCGCCCGCCGTCAGCCCCCATTAATTACCCGCTGTAATTACCCCCCATTTCCTCTTTTCATCTAGTCTGACTTTGCACACCGGGACTGCCTGGCATGTAGATAAGCTCCTCGGGTCGCATCTAGATGGAATTCGGCATCTTTGGGCGCCAGAGTCGCTGTAATTTTCAGTTTAGGAGTTGTGAGGATCAAGGACGTTGAAGCCGTAGGGGGGAAACGAGACACGGGCGGCTTAATTATAACGCTAGGGTTCCGCGCAAGTAAGTTCTAAATACAAAGTCAATTACCCGGCATTTTGAGACATGTTGCCTAACCATATCCCATGACCCAACCTCCTAACATATTCTGACCCTAGACAAACGCGACTATTGTTCTCCTCGCTTCCATTGCCGCTTCTCTGCTACCAACTTATTCTGTGGCCAAGATACCCGACAATGTCAGCTAACAGTACAGGGAGGAAAGGAAAGAGTCCGAACTCACCTTCTTGGGTGGCTTGATCGAATTCCGGCAGGTATGCGTGCAAAACGTATTAGCGAGAGAGCAAATACAATGTAGAAGAAGAGGACGATACTCACTCTTGGATACACCCTGAAACACAGTCAGGATCCGGACAGTGAACCAAAGTTGGTTAGGTCGAATGCCCAAGACTGTGACAGAAGTACGGGGAGAACCCACCGATGACTGTTGGACTTGTGAACGGGATAATGTTAGAGAACATTCCGCCGAGGTAGATAACGGCCAATTGAGCGGGAGACTAACCCTAAGAAAAAAGCAACTCGCCGACCACTCGTAATATTGAGCGTTAAGGAAGAGGCAGTGTTAGACCAAGGGTCAGAAGGTAACGAAGTAATAACAGGAAACACTCACTGTTTAGGATATCCAAAGAACACCTAGCCCCGACAATAGCTAAGAAATGCTAGCTGACCAAGGTCAAGAACTAACAAAGGTCGGGGAAGGTATTACTTGCCTCTTGTAGAACCAGAGAGAAAAGAAGAGAGGAAAAGAGAAAATAAAACGGTATTGTCAAGTTGGCGAGCAGAGGCTTATTAGCGCTGTAAGCAGAAAGAAGGAATAAGGGAAATTGCTTACCGTTTCTATAGAAAACGAAAGGAAAATAAACCAAGAAGATAGAGAGGGCGAAACGGAACCATCGTTTCAGAGCGAACAAACGCATTAGACAGCCGACTAGAGACAAGGTAAGGCGGGAGTAGGGATACATACCGGTGCTGGGGGAAACAAAAGCTAAAAATCGAAGAAAAGAGAGAAAAGGAAAGCCATCATCGTATTGGTGAGGAGAAACAGGTTAGACTAGCCACATCACCAAAAGCAATAAAATCTGCGAGAGGGAGGAAACCGTACTTGTTCGATGGAGAGCAAAAGGACGATGAGAGGTAAATAATGAGTTAGTAATCGATCATTTTGATCGTTTTGATACGCAAAAGCATGTTAGCTAACTCGTCAAAAACAACGAATAGGCAAGGAAAACTACATACCGTTTTAGGGAAGCCAAAAGGTAATAACAAAGAGCAGAGGAAATGAATCATCGTGTTTGAGCAGCTGGTTAGACTTGTGACCAAAAACAACAAACAAAGGGGTAAAGGAAACCACGTACCGGTGTCTGTAGCTCGGAATATATCCCGACGGAATCCAGGGGAACGAAAAATGGTTAGACGAATGAGAGAGACACGATGTAAGGGAAATGTAACGTAAGACTTACTTGGGAGATATCTGGCAACAAGCTCGTAGGATATATGGAAACCCATGTGTTAGCAATGAACAGATTTGTCAACTTAAAGGTATTGGGAAGACTTACCACTTTATTCTGGTTATGAAAACCATCGTAATGACCGAAGTTAAGAAATAGTTAGCAGGAAGAAGCCAGTGCAAAGATGTGAGGGAACTTACCGCCCAATCCGGGCGTCTGGATCGGGCCTGAGTTGCGATTGTATCGGGTGTTGTTGCCGGTACCGGTCGGTAGAAGAGCTACCCCGTGTGACAAGGAAAGCGATGCAGAGCCGGTGGCCACCGACACCATTTCCCCGTCACACGGTAAGGTTAGCAAAAAGTACTCTAGGCTTGGGGAGGGTTAGGGCGTACCTGGTCTCAGGGTATGTGCTATCGGCAAATGGCAGATATGATGAAGAGATGAATGGAAACGTGAAAAAGATGTGCCAGGTGTTGGAGATAACAAAGATAGCAAATATGGCAGAGATGTCAGTGGTCATAAGATGGAAAAGATGGTACAGATGTTAAAGATGAAGAGATAATTGGATAATTATGAAGAAGATGTGTTAAATGTCAGAGATTGTAAATATAACAAATATAGCAGAGATGTCACGGGTCAAAAGATGGTAGAGATGGTAGAGTTGCCAAAGACGGAGATATAATTGGAATGTGAAGAAAATATACGAGATATTGGAGATGTTAGAGATGGCAAAGCTGACCGAAATATTCGAGATATCAGAGATGATAAATATAGTAAACATAGTAGAGATGGCACAGATGGTAAAAGTGGTGGAGATGCCAGGGGTTCAAGAATGGAAATTATAGTAGGGATCGCAAAGGTTAAGGAGATAGTAACGATGAAGAAGATGGTAGAGATGGCGAAGGAATCAGAGATGTGATAGATGTAAGGGATGGAAAAGATGGTACAGGTTTTGAAGATAGCAAGATATTCCAAATATCAGAGGTAGTATAAATGGTAGAGATGTGAAAGATAGAAAAGACAGCAGAAATTGCGAAGAGGGTAGAAATGTCAGAGGATGTCAGAGGTGGCAGAAATAGCAGAGATGGTCGAAATGTTAGAGATAGCCGAGATAATAGAGATATTCAAGATCTTAGAGATGGCAAAGGTGGTGGAGATTATAGAGATGGTAAAGATGGTGGACATGTTCGAGATGTTAGAGATGTCAAGGGCCAAAGATGGCAAAGATGGAAAATATAGCAAGGTAGATATGGTAGAGATGGTCAAGATGGTCAAGATGGTAAAGATGGAGGAGATAGAATAGATGTCAAGGGTCAGGGAAAGGGGGGGTGGTGGGAAAGGTAAAGATGGCACTAAATAAGGGAAGATCACGAAAAGGATGTCAATAAATGGGTTGCTCCTATATTGCTTGAAATAGATGTCACGATAAATGTTTAAGAGGTGAATTAACTTCTGATCTGTCAGATAAATGCCCAAAGGCACCGGTAAATAGTAATAAATATCCAAGATGTCAGTTCATTGTAGTAAGATAGCGGTAGATGGTGAAATATTGTAGTCAAGTGGTATAAATAGGATTGTAATAAGTCCGACATAAGGCAGCTAGATGGTTGAGAAGTGTGAGCAGCCTGGTCGAGCTGACTGGAGATGCCCGAGATGACGTCGTTAGTAGGTGGCGGCCGACATAAGATATAAATAGCGCCTGAGATTACCAAGACGGCCACTAACGCCGCCCGCCCTTACGACCACCGAAGTGGGAGGAGGGCGACGCCCTGGCCAGGGGGGGAACGTCCCTAGCCAGGGGAGCAAAGCAAAAAGCCAAAACGCCAAACGCCAAAACGCCTGAAAGCCAAAAGCCAAGAAGCCAAGAAGCCAAAAACTCCAAAATGCCAGAACGCCTGAAAGCAAACGCTAGAAAAACACAAAAAAGACAACGCTAATAAAAACACAAGAAAGCCAAACGCTGGTAAGCCAAAAACGCCAGAAAGCCAGAACGCCAAAAGACAAACCCCCAAACAAAGGAAACGAACGAAGGAAAAGAACCACTCACCTCATCCTCCTCTTCCTCTCCATCCACCAGGGACGCACCGGCTCCCCCGACGCCAGGCAGTGCACCTCCGGCGCAGACCGCACGCGCCGGCGTTGCGCCGGAGACGACGACTGCCGGCCGTCGTTGTCGTCGACGGGGGGCCGGCGCTCCTCGTCGTCGTTGTTGTCGACGTCCTCGGGGACGTCGAACCGGACCCGAAGGCCCGGGCGACGAGGGACACCCGCCGGGGTGGACTTGAAGCAGCCGCGGGGTTAGCCGCGGCGGCGGCGAGAACCACCACGAGGGTGGCGGCGGCGGCGGTGGCCACGATGGCGGTGGCGGCCGCGGGGAGGGGAGAGAAAAAGAACGGAAGGGGCCAGAAGAGAGCGGAGGTCGTGCGAACACCACAAAGAGCGAAGGTGGGAAATTTGCCAAAGGCAAAACGAAAGACGAGCGGGGGGGAGCGAATGTAGGCGCCAGTGGGCGCAAGAACGAATGTCAAGTTGACAAAAGTGGCAGTGTAAAAACTTGTAAGCGAGTGCGACAGCTGGCCGAGCATTTTTGTGAACTTGGAGAGAAAAGAGAGAAAGGGAAGGGAAAGATGGGGGGAAAGTTGCCCCTATTTATGCTCCTCCAGAAAGGCCAGAGACAGGGGCAATCAGCTCACTCTCAGGCCTATACAGATTGCATACAGAATGTAGAATATTCTCGAGGAAGAAATAAGTGGAAGACATATGTAAGAACATGGACTCTTGTTATCGTTGGAGTCATGCTAAGCTGCATGCAAGAGTGGAAGTCGGTGCGTATAAGTCAAATGTATAGGCGTGGAGTGAGTCGTGTCATTTTCACGGACTGGGTCACGATATTATTCCAGATGGGCTCAAAAACCTTCTTCTGAAGTGTGTCAGAAGAAGATAGAAAGCAGTTAGTCAACAGCTTTGCATTGATTGTATCGTGCTCGGTCGGTGTCCTGCCAGGGAAGATATCCCATTTTGTTCCACAGTTGGTCTTATTTCACTGCTAATGGCGGGATACTACGACCGTTAAAAATGTTTATTGCAAAGGCAGTTGGGGGCAAAAAAAGGTTGCTAAAATGTAGTAATGTATGCGGTAGTATTGAAGAGCAGGTCATTTTCTAAATCTGGCGCATGGAATTAGTTGCTTGAGAGGAATATTATTTAAAAGTGATCTCGATTAATTAGTAAATCGGTTTACAGGATGGTTAAATATCCCTGGAAAACAGAATACCCTTTTATAAACTCATCCTCTAATTATTTTTGGCTTCCCTAAATAACAGTTTTAACTTGTTCCTTGAGAATCGAAAAATAAAAGCAGTTCAGCTTGTGAATACTTTTTTTTTTTTTAAAAAAAAAAGTGACAGGTGTTGTATTTCAAAATATAATTAACTAACAATTTAGAAAAACAAAACACATTGAGTTTATAATATTTTTATTTTGTAAACATTCAAAAGTCATTACAACAGCAAAAGTAATATCACAGTCCAGTTTCAAATAATTAACTGTTTGGCATATGTGGTTATTAGACTTTGTGTGAGGAACTGGCCCTATGGCGGAATGCAGATAGGCGTTTATTATGTTATTGA